CATCTCTTGTGCAATAGTTGGGTTGGAAAATAAATTGTTCTGCTCAAGAGGAATCATATTTCTTTCTTTATGGGAATTCGTCTAATTATTTTCTAAATAATTAGAAAAATAAGAAAAAATATCTGAAATCATTAAAATTTAATTGTAATATTAAATATTATAGAAATATTCATATTCATTATTATAATTTTTATTGATATTATTAATACCATTATAAAAATTACAAAATTTTTCATTTACAAATATCAATTTCAATTTTAAAATGAGATTCCAGTTTCAAATACTTAAAAAAATTCAGTTATTATATCAATTAATTATTATTATTATTTACAAAAATTGCAATAAAATTCTTCGAAATAATTCAATTATTTTCAAAAATAATAAAATTCTTGGCATGAATTTAATTATTTTTATTGCAATTTTAATAAAATTTCAATTTAATAAAATATAATTTTTTTTATATAATTTTGAATCTGAAATAATTTATTTTCTTTCATAGAATTTTATTAAAATCTTTGAAATTTAGTCAATTCTTTAGAGGAATTTAATTAAAATTGTATATTGAAAATAATTGAATTCTTTCGATGAATTTTATTAAAATTTTTAAAAATAATTGAATTTTTCCAAAAATTGTATTAAATTTCTGCGAAGAATTTTATAAATTATTAAATTTTAATGAATTTTATTAAAATTTTTGAATATAATTAATTTCTTTTGAAGAATTAAATAATAATTGTATATTGAAAATAATTGAATTTTTATTAAGAATCTTTTCAAAAATTTTGTAAATAATTAAATTTTTTCGAAGAATTTTATAAAATTTTCGAAAGAATTCAATTATATTAAACAATTTTTAATTCTTTAAATCAATTCAATTATTTTCAAAAATTGTGATAAATTTTGTTTATATAAGAATTTAATACTTTTCAATATATAGTTACAATTTTAATTAAATTTTTTGAAAGAAGTCAATTATTGTCAAAAATTTTAATTAAATTTTTATTCGGAATTCAATTATTTTCAATACAATTTCAATTAAAATTTTCGAAAGGAAAGAATTAAATTTTTTTGAAAATGTTTATAAAATTCTTATCATTAATTCAATTATTATTATTTGTAGAAATTTTCATAGAAGTTCATAAGAATTCAATAATTTTTAATGCAATTTTAATAAAATTTTCCAAACAAATTATTTTTAAACTGTTTAATAAAATTCTACGCAAGAAATAAATTATTTTCGACCATAATTATAAAAGTTACAAAAATTATAACATTTTTTAAAAAAACTATTATTTTTTTTTAAATTAGAAAAATTACTGATTAACCCAAAATAATGGAAAATAACATAATTTCTAAATGTTTCTTGCAAAAATAGTTTTGCAGTATTAAAATAATTAGTTTTTCTACAATAGTTTATAAATAAACAAATTTTTTTTTATTAATTTTTGTTTTTTATGTTTATTACTATTACACTAATAATAATATAAATGTTATCATAATAATAAATATTGATTAATAAAAAATATAAGTAATCGCGAGATTAATTTTGTTGAATAAAATTTGTGGGTTATTTAATTCGCGTTTCAATTTCACTCGAACTTGAGATAATTAAATATGCACTTATTTTCAGAAAGTTAAAGCAACTTTGGTTGTTATTGACTGAAATTTCACTGCCATTCTCATGTTTAATTACTCTTGAATCACCAATTATTTACTTTCCGAGCGACGAGAGAGTTTGCTACAGAAAAATAATTATTCTTCTGGTGAAATTTCCGTTTCTTCTCCTTTTTTTTGGAGCTTGTTCATTGTCTTTGTATATATAATTTACACTGACTGCGTATATTTATTCTTTTTCAATTTCTAAAGATTCTTTTTTTTACAATTATATAATTTCGCTTTCGATCTTTTTTGAATTTTTATTACAAAAAAATAATTTTTAGCCTTCTTTGAAGACTAAGGAAAGTTTATCTTTTTTGGATTTTTATTAAAACCTTCTTTGAAGACTAAAGAATTAGAAATTTAGTTTCGTTCTTTTTATGGAAAAAAATTCGTTGATTGTAGAAAACGGAAAATTACAATTAATTATAATTGTCCTTTTTTTATTTGATAATAGAAATTTTTATATGATTGTAATTATGGTGTGATTTAAATTTCAGATATCAAAAGAGATGATGTGACTGTGAGTTTGTAAAATTAGTAACGTCATTCTAATGAGTTTCTAATTTTGTTTCTTCTGCGGCTATTTATCGTGTGACGTTTAATTACAATCGGAAGTGAAGACTTGTTATCGACAAAATGCATAAATATATCATCCTCGAGAATCAACAGGTGTTGACAGGGTGAAAGGCAACTTTCTCTATTATTTTTTTTTCGAAAAAAACCCTCTTGAATGGAGGATGTTATGGGCAATTTTTAAGATGAGCTCTTGTCTGTCGTCTGAGATCCATGTCCCATTTTTTTTCTTTTAATTTTTTTTCCTTCTTTTTTTTTAGAAAGGAAACACAGTCCCAGGTTACAGTTAACCAAGTATACTATATACTCTAACTCTGCGAACAACATTCCTTGCTCCTCTCTTCTCGCAACTCTTCGCCAAGTTGTTACAATCTTGATTCTTCGATTCAAAGTCAGTTCTCTCGTGGATGCGAACACGTGCGATTCAAATCAAATAAATATTAAATTCACCTATATGGAAATAAGCCGTTGTACGTATTTGGATTTTTCAGAGCCGGTTGTTTTCAGTTTTTTTTTTGTTTACTTAGAAAAATGCAATTGTATTTTATCTCTTTAATCTTAATTGAAAGTTTGTTAATTTGTTTTTGTAATTATTTCCGATTAATAATTTTTATTTTATTCTTTTTTATAAATTTTCGTAAAATTACTTTTTTATTCTTTGAATGCAATTTTATTCCTTTCGTGCAATTATTTTTTCTTCGCATACAATTCTTTTTATTTTCGTTCAATTATTTTTCTATTCGTTTAATTATTTTTTACACAATTATTTCTTTCGTAAAATTTTTTTTCTTTTCGTGCAATTTTTATTTTTGTTAAATTGTCTTTCGTACAAATATTTTTCTTTTCGTTTAATTATTTTTTTTCTACAATTTTTTTCTTTTCGTTTAGTGATTTTTTCGTACAAATATTTTTCTTTTCGTTGAATTATTTTTTTCCGTACAATTATTTTTCTTTTCATTCAATTATTTTTCTTTCCAGTCAATTATTTTTTCGTACAATTATTTTTTTTTTTATTTAATTAATTTTCTTTTTGGACAATTATTTTTTCTCCTACAATTAAGTTTCTTTTCTTGTAATTATTTTTTCTTATCCTTCAATTATTATTATTAATTCCGTACAATTGGTTTTTATTTTTAAAAAATTGTTCATAATTTTTTTTCTACTTAAAAAAATTATTTTCCGATATTTTGGGATTTAAATTTAAAAGTTTTTTCTTATAATTATTTTTTAACAATATTGATTAAAAAAAATCCACTAGTGAATCGATTGCCGTAGAAACTGTCCAAATAGAGTCGAAAATAAATTTTGTTCGCGAATTCAAACTTTCGGATTTTCAAAAAAGATTTTCTTTTTAATTCAGCGACATTTTGGAGGAATTTTTTTTTCCAACTTTTTGTAACTTTTTTTGGTAACAGTCGAAAGGTCACAAAAGCTTCGGTTACAGTCAGTTTCAGTGGCTAATAACATGGACGTATGCAGCTAGTTTTGTGTGGAATTTAATTTACCGTTAATCGCGTGACTACTTGTAAAACTGTCTGAATATTTGAAAATCTAGATGTTGTTATGTTTTCATTTCCACTTTAATGTCTTTTTACACTTATAAAGAAAATATAAATTCTTATATTCACTTGAACGGATTTACACCTGTTAATTTATGAGACTCATCTCGACTCCATAAAATGTAGCTCGAGAAAGAGGGATTTTTATGACATTTCTTCTCCATTTGGCTTGTTATTACGATTTTCTTTAATGTATAATATAACTGGAAAATTGTTCAGTTATAATTTCATTAAGTTCATGAGAATCTCTTTCGATTTTGCCACTATTTTTATGATTTTTATCTTCTCATTCTTTATTATTTTTCCTCTTTTCAATATTGCCTTATTTCTATTTTCTCATTCTCTCTTTTCTTTTATCATTTTCTTTCGATGGAAAATATTATAGGTATTTTAAAAAAGTGAAAATTTTTCCTCTATAAAAATTATTATCCATGGTAATTTTTTTTCGTAAATTAAATTTCAAAGAGTGTTTATTTATTTATTTACAAAGTGTTGAGAAAAATTAACTAAAATCTATTTTTATTTTCTTTTAGGTGTGATTCAAATTGTTGTCAAATTAGGAGAATCGAATTTATGGAATGGGATTTTTTTTGCCTGAAAATTTATGAGAGGAAAGATAAAATAAATCAGTGGTGTTTTTTTTTGTTTGAAACCTTCATGTAAAGAAACTCATGATTCATGTGTGATTCATGATTTTCCATAGAGAATTCAGGGTCTTGAATTCACTTGAAGGATATCGTGTGATCCTCAGATGAATAAATGCATCCTTAATGCCTCTTTCTCTCAACATTTTTATCATGATTTTTTGGTTTCTATTTTTGTTTCTCGTTAATATTTAAACTGTTTGCTTGAAAGAGTACATAATATGACGCATTGAAAATTGCACAATATTGCAATTTTTAATTTATAAATTATCACTTTTTAATCGGATATTTAAAAGAAAATTTTAATCTAAGTTTTTTTTTAATTCAATGTTGAATTTTACTTTTAATTCATTTTTTAATTTGAATTTTTTATTTTGTCCCGTTTATAAATTAATAAAAATAGAAAATAAAATTTTGTTTTTTTATTTATTTAATAAACGGTACATTTGATAGTTTTTATTTCCGAATTTAATAATAACGGCAGTTGAAAATTATATATATATATAAATATAGAAAAATTTCTTGAAATGTATAAAGAAATATTTATTAAATTCCTTTTTTTCAGGCGGAACACAGAATTGAACAGCTTCGAAAAGCTACTGATAGAATTCAAAAGGAAATTGAAGAAGTTACGGAAAGAGAACACGAACTTAGAAACGTAGGCAGTATAAAAACTACGTCCCATGAAACTGTCGATTCGAAGGTATATTTTTAAACCAACATCTACAAATATGAAAAAAATTAATTTAATTAATTAACTATTCATTTACTTAATTTAAAATTAAACTTTTGTATTATATATATAATTATATTTTTTAAACTTCATTTTTTCTATTTCGTTAATTTATTTCTAAATTTTATATAATTAGCTAAATTTTCTAAATTTTACATAATAAACTAGTTCTGAAAGTTTAATTAGCTGTTGATCTAGTTTATAAATAAGAAAATTGAAGAAATTAAAATATTACATAATTACAAATATTGAAAACAAATTTTCAAAAATTAGAAAACACAAAATTTCTTTATTTTAGCAGAATTTTTTAAAAATTTTGCGTTTAGCGAAAAAATATTTTCTATTGTTCAGTGTCCTTTAATTTTAAATTATCATTCTTTCTTTATTAATACATGTACTTGAATAATTTAACAAAATATTTTCATAATTTTAACATTTAATTTTGCCTTGAATTCTTAAAAGAATCCTAAAAAAATATAAATCAAGGTGAAACGCGAGCAGAAAATTCAATTAATTATAATCAGATTTTAATAAGAAAAACTATATTCAATAAGATGGATGCAGAAATTTTTATTATTTTGAAGAATATGAATCATTATAGGTATAATAACTTTATCAATATTCATAGAAATTATTATTACTAGCAAATATTAAGCGGTATTCAATTTATTATTATAATTAATTATTATCGTTTATTAATTTCAAACATTTAAATAAAATTCTTCGCAAGAATTCAATTATTTTTATAAATAAGAAAAATTTTCTCAGGAATTCAATTATTTTCAAAACAATTTTAATAAAATTTTTCTAAAAAATTCAATTATTCTCAAAAGTTTGTTAAAATTTTTTATAAAAATTCAATTATTTTCATAAATAATAAATTTCTTCGCATAAATTCAATTATTTTCAGTGCAATTTTTATAAAATTTATTTAAGGAATTCAGTTATTTTCCAAAAATTGCAGTAGAATTATAGGAAGAATTCAAATATTTCCAAAAAATTTTAATAAAATTCAATAATCATATTTTTAATTATTTTAAATTAAAATTATTTTATAGAATTGAAAAAAATACTTCGTAAAATTTTATTATTTTTAATTAAGATTATTAAAAAACTACATCATTTTCAAAAATATTAGGCTACAAAAGTGCCAAAAATAGGGTCAAGAAATATTTCTAAAATTTAAAAGTTCCAAAATTAAAAAATTTCCAAAGGATAAAATTTCCAAAAAAAATATTTCTAAAGAACAAAATATAAAAAAAAATTCAAAAAAACGTTCCAAAATAAAATTGTAAAAAATTCTGGAACTTTATTCGTGTAATAATTCCGCTTTTTGGAACAAAAAATTTAATTTACACCAACCATTTAATTTGATTAAAAAAAATTCAATGTACAATTAAACAAAATGACAACTATAATGATATACTAATAATTTAATAACAACAAATGAACACAATATTGCACTACTAATGTTGACTTTTTTTCAATTTTTTAATTTTCCAAATTTTTAGAAAAAATGTCTACTGAGAAAAAGAATTTTTTAAAAAAGTTTCCATGGGAAGAAATAATTACAAAATGGAAAAACTGTTTACTGGAAAAATAATAATTTTGAAAATTTGGCACTGGCACTTTTATTTTGGCACTTTTGACTCACCATCAAAAACTTTAAAGGAATTTCTCAAAAGAATGTAATTATTTACGAAAAGTCAAATAAAATTATTAATAATTACAATCATTAACAAAATCGATTATATTCAAAAAGTTAAAGAAATTCTTCGAAACAATTTAATTATTCTTAAAACCTTTAATACTATCTATTCTTCTGAAGAATTCAATTATTTTTAGCATTTTTAAATAAAATTCCTTGAATAATTTCAATTATTTTAAAAAAATTGTAATAAAATTCTAAGAAGAATTTTACTGTTTTCTAAAAATTTGTTATAAAATTCAATAATTAAATGTTTAATTACAATTATTAACAAACACGATTATTTTAAAAAGTTGAAAAAAATTCAATTAATTTTAAAATTTTCAATTATAATTATTAAAAAAACTCAATTTTTTTCAAAAAAATTCAAAGAAATTTTTCAGAACAATTCAATTATTTTCAAAAATTTTAATAAAATTCTCTGCAAGAATTCAATTGTTTCCATATTAATAAAATTCTTCCTGTGGATTTAAGTCAGTTAAATTTTACTCTAATTCGAAGTAAATAATTAGTTTTGAATCGTATCGGAAGTTATTCATAAATTGAAGTTGATATTAAAAATTAAAACATTTTACGTTTGCCTAATACCTATATTAATAAATTGAATACAGCGTTTCGTGTGTATATTATTCTTATAAGCATTATTAATTTTGGTTGATAATTTATTACTTTTTTAAATTGTAATTTATTTAATGAAAACTTTAAGTTGCAAATTTTCATCAAAATATTTTTTTCTTTTTATTCTATTCAATTCAATATTTTTACTAATATATTTGTCACGTAAAATATCTACTTTTCATATTTACACACACACAGATTGAGATCTTATCAGTTTTAGTTTGAGAGTTTAAATAATTGAAAGTTTAGCACTTAAATTTCAATTGTTTTACAGAATTTTCCCTCCAATCAGTAGAGTAGTAATGATATCATAAGTGCTTATCAATTTAAAAGAAACCAATCCTATCTACTTTTTCAATTTATTTTTTACTTTATTGGTAGATAAAATAAGATTATAAATTTATAATTCATTTTACAATCAATTCGTACGTATCTATAAAATAATTTAAAACATTGGAATTTTATCAATTTCTTTTCATTATTCCTAGTTTTTTTATTTGTTTACTACCCTAACTACAATATTTTATAAATCTTGTTTAATTCTTATTTAATTTTATTTGCATAATTTAATATTTATATATGTTTCATTTAGATATATATAAGAAAGGAAGAAAAGAGAAACATTTATTATCTGGTTATATTTTTTTATTCCAACTTTTACCTTCTTGAAACTTTTTTTACGTATCTCTAACTTGGACTATTATCATTCGGTTATTTAAATTCTTTTCCCTTATTTATCTCATTATTCAGCTAAAAAGTAATGTGAAATATAAAATGAAATAGATATAGTAATAAAAATCTATTTAATGATTTTTTTCCTTCTTTTTGATTTAATTAAATTGCTCATATTTTGAAATATTATCACTTACGGTGTGAAAGAGTTTGTGGTTTCAATTCATTAGAGAATAACTGTTTTATTATACCGGATATGTTTGACAACTGGAACGTAACTAACGAGCATTGCTATTAATGGTAAATTACTATATCATCTGAGAATCTTCAAGTCCCAAAGTAAACTATTCATTTTCATTCAAATTAGAATTTTAATTATCTAATTAGATAAAAAGACCATTTCTCGAAGCATATAATTTCGTCTCTTTTTCAATTTTTTTTTTCCTATTGATTGTACATTGTTGTCCGTGATACTGAAATTCGTTTGTTTTTAAGTTAGTTTATTAATTAATAATAAAAAATGTAATTTTTTACTTAACATTTTTTTTAATTGGAATAATTGCGAGAAAATGTTCTTTTTCAGGTTCGACGAATGCCACAAGCTTTAAAATTAAAAAGAACAACGTCAACGCCACAAATTTTGGAGAACATCACATCGCCATCAACTCAAACGGCACCAATTTTAACACCAAAAATGACAAATGGAGTGATTTCAACTCGCACAACACCCACGCCATTGCGTTTTGCAACGAGTCCAAGTCAAAAGGGATTAATGCACAGGTTTCTTGCGACTCGAGGAAAAATTTATAAGTCACAATCGATTAATAACGAATTAATTAAACAGTCATCAGTGCCCACTATCACTCTCAATCCATTAAGCATAAAAGCCTTTAATAGAAGTCTAGATATTCAAATTGAATCGGATGAGCCTAAAGTGAAACCAACGAGGAAAGGTTTTGTTCCAGTAGAACAAAAAATTCAGAAAGAACTCACTGAAATGAAAGAGCGAGAAAATGAATTGAGGTATAGGAAATTTTTACTTTTCTTTTTCATCATTTCTTATATTAAATTTAGGCCTGTAAATTAATAAAATTAGGAGTATTATTATTAATAATAAAAATTTATTTATTAATAATTGTCTATGTGCAGTTTGAAGTATGCTTTTTTGTTTCTTAATTTTTAAAAATTTTTCTTTTTAAATTTTTAAATTTTTTAAATTGATGAAATTCTAATTTAATGTTTTGAAGATTAAATATAGTAGCAAGAATGAATAAAACAAAATTGTATTGATTTAAAAATCATAATTTAATTCAATTTTAATTCTAAAAAACTAAATTAGTAACTTATAAAGTGTTGTAGAAAAACTAATTTTTATTCATGTAAAATACGGTCATTGGTATTTATTTAATACGAAAAACAGGATTTGATTTATATTTTTACAAATTCAGATTTAGAGTTTTTTTATTAAAAAAAATATTATTATTTTATTATTATTCCATTATTGTAGCAAATATATTTAGAATTTATTTTATTTTCCACAATTTATTATTATTTTATAAATTCAAAAAATTTATATTTTTAAGAATAAACATCAATTTTTGAATGATTACAGATTCAGAATTTAAAGAATTCACTTATTAAGTACATAACATTAAATATTCTTGTTTATTATTATTCGAAAATTTTAATAAAATCCTTCAAAGGAATTCAATTATTTTCATAAATAATGAAATGTTTCGGAGGTATTCAATTATTTTCAATACAATTTTAATAAAATTTCTCAAAAGAATACAATTATTTTAAAATATATTAATTAATTAAATTCGATTATTTCAAGAATTTTAATATAAATTCAATTATTTTCGACAATTTTGCTGAAATTCTTTTTACAAAAATCATTATTTTCAAATTTTTTAATAAAATTCCTTAAAAAAAATCAATTATGTTCAAAAATTCATATAAAATTCTTCGAATCAATTAAATTATTTTTATGCATTGTAAAATCACCCGCAAGAATTCAATTATTTTCACAAATAAAAAAATCCGAAAATTCTTCGCAAGATTAAAATATTTTCATAAATAATAAAATTCTTCAAAAGAATTCAATTATTTTCAAAAATAATAAAATGTTTCGGAGGAATTCAATTATTTTCAATACAATTTTAATAAAATTTCTCAAAAGAATACAATTATTTTAAAATATATTAATTAATTAAATTCGATTATTTCAAGAATTTTAATATAAATTCAATTATTTTCGACAATTTTGCTGAAATTCTTTTTACAAAAATCATTATTTTCAAATTTTTTAATAAAATTCCTTAAAAAAAATCAATTATGTTCAAAAATTCATATAAAATTCTTCGAATCAATTAAATTATTTTTATGCATTGTAAAATCACCCGCAAGAATTCAATTATTTTCACAAATAAAAATATCCGAAAATTCTTCGCAAGATTAAAATATTTTCATAAATAATAAAATTCTTCAAAAGAATTCAATTATTTTCAAAAATAATAAAATGTTTCGGAGGAATTCAATTATTTTCAATACAATTTTAATAAAATTTCTCAAAAGAATACAATTATTTTTAAAATTATTATTTAAATTTAATTATTTTCAAAAGTTTTAATAAAAATTCAATTATTTTCAACAATTCTGATAAATTTCTTCGAAAAAATTCAATTATTTTTGTAAATAATAAAATTCTTCTGAGAAATTTAATTATTTTCAATACAATTTTAATAAAATTTCTAGGAAAAAATTCAATTATATTCAAAATAATTTTAATAAAATTTCTCTAACAGAATTATTTTTAAAAATTGTAATAAAATTTTTCTAAACAATTCAATTGTTCTCAAAAGTTATTTTAATAAAATTCTTTGTAAGTTTCAATTATTTTCAAAAGGACCATGCACAAAATACATACAAATTGGATCCCAGTCAATTTTTTTTTATTTTTCAATTGGGAATCTTTTTCCTGACACAAAAAACTACTTTTCTACGCAGTTTCAAAAAAAATCGACTGGGATCCAATTTATATGTATTTTGTGCGTGGTCCTTTTCAATTAAAATGATTTAAAAAATTTACATTATTTTTACGAAATTTAATGAAATTCTTAAAAAGAAATGTAATTATTTACAAAAAATAATCAAATTGTTTAAAAAAAATTTAATTTTCTATGAATTATTTTAATATAATTATTAATATAGAAGATAGATTTGAAAATATATTGAACTCTTGCGAAGAATTTAATTTGAATTATTTTTAAATAAATGAATTCTTTCAAGAAATTATATTAAAAATTCCGTTGAAAATAATTGAATTCACTGTAATAAGTTTGATTAAAATTTTTAAAAATAAATTATTTTGAAGAATCTTATTAAAATTTTTCGAAATTATTGAATTATTTCGACGAATTTTATTAAAATTTTTGAAAATAATTTAATTATTTTAAATGATTTTATTAAACTTTTTGAAAATAAAAAATAATAATTAGTTAATTAATTAATTAATACTTAAATTTAAAAAAAATAATTAAAATCATTGAATTGTTTCGACGAATTTTATAGAAATCTTTGAAAATTAATAATTAATTAGTTAAATAGTTAATAAATGACTTTTTAAAAATTTTTAAATTAAAATTTTATTAAAATAATAAAATTCTTATAAAGAATTTTATAAAAAATTTTGAAAATATGTAATTTAATTTTTTTAAGAAATTTTATTAAAATTGTATTTAAAATAATTGAATGTCTGTGATTTGAATTTTGTTATCTATAAGAGTAATTTAATTCTTGTGAAGATTTTTATTTAAATTTTATGAAAAAGCAATTGAATATGTATTTTAATTTAGAAGAGTTTTATTAGAAGTGTTTGAAACTAATAAATAATAATTAATTACTTTTTCCTATTTTTAATCTTAAAATATTCTTATTTTATTCTACTGAACAAGTTTTAGTAAAAATTTTGATTTATTAGAAATTCGACTAGATTTTGCATATAACATTTAAATTATTATTTAATTAAGTCTAATTTTAGTATTTAAAGAAATTTAATTTGAACATTGAAATATAAGTCTAATTTTATTATTTTTTAATTAAATTTAATTTTTATTAATTATTATCAATTGAACTTAATTTTAATATTGAATTTAATTTCCTTTTAATAATTTCAGATTAATGCGATCACAAATGCTGGCAAAGTCGCAGCCAAATTTGTTAGATATTGGAAATGATAATGATTCTGATATCTACGATGGTGCTAGTTCTTTGAGAAGTGGAACCTCAAGTAATACTTTGAACGACGATGAAGTGGAGAAAGAAAATAAAGGAAGGCACAAGGTAAAATCTTTATTTTCTATAATTTCAAATTTAATTTCAAAAGAAATAAGAAAATAATATTTTTCCCTTTCCTACAGCCAAATCCAAGACGTCGAAGCACGTTGATAGCACAATGGGAAAGTTTAATTGCCGCTAAAAAAGAATCGACTGATAATTTCAACGAAAATAACAATACTGTTTAACAGTACTTCCACAAAAAATAATGTTTCATTTTTTTCGAATTCTTCACACTTACATTGCATAATATAAGTAATTGATAGATTTTTTCGCTCTTTTAAAAGCCGTAAGTGTTTAAAAAAATAGAATAAAACGCAGAATGGCAATCAGCAATGAAGATATATAATTTCCAGCCAAGCGTTTAAATTTAAAAAAAGAGAAAAAATTTCTTAACACCCTTTTAATCGCATTAAGTCGATTAAAAAAAAGCAGAATTGAAAAATGAAAAAGACTTATTGAAATCTGATAGATCATAAGCTTATTGATTGTAATCGACTGAAACGATTTTACACGCAATAGAAATTCAGTATTAAATTATTATAATTTTATTATGCGAAGCATAATTAAAAAAAAAAATTCATCAAAAAATCGTTTAGTCGAAGAAAACCAATTTGTATTTTATATTTACTCTCGGCATAATTTTTTTTTTACGAAATTATTTATTTATTCGTATTATTATTTATTTATTGAACAAATTTATTTATCGATTAATAAGAATTTGTCCATTTTAAAAATTTTTGCAATTTTGAAAAAAAGTCAATTTTAAAGAATTAATTTTTCTAATTAGAATATTACTTGTGTATTTATTTATTACAAAGAAACAAAAATAATATATTTTTGCGTAATTTTGTAACTTTAAAGAAAATAATTTGGAAGTTAAAAAATCTGCAGACTGTGTTTGTAATTTTGAGGCTTCATTTGTGATTGATAAATGGTTTCCATTTATTATTGTTTCGTATATATAATTATAGTCGAATGTTTGATTAAATATACGAATCCAGGTGGAGGCTCTTTTTTGTTAGGTACATAAGATTTTTTTTTTGTTGATGAAAAAGTCATAATTATGTGTAAAACTCTTTTTAAAAGGTTGCCAAGAAAGTCGTTATAATGAAGTCGTTAAATTTAATTATTGTAGTAATTAGTTATTTATAGTAATTATACTACTAACTGATGTACCTATTCATGATCATATTCAACTTTGTCGATGATTATTTTTATAAAAATATATATGGTTACTTTATTTATTTCTTTTCTTATTTATTTACCCACTTTTTAGTATTATTTATTTATTTATTATTAACTAATAATGATAATTATGGTTTTACATATAACAACCGTTATTAAATAATTACTACAATATAAATTAAACCATACTGCTTTCAATTCAAAATATTTCTTTTGTTATTATTTCTTTTATAATTTTGAGTCTGAAATAATTGAATTCTTGAAAAGAAATTTACCCAAATTTTTCAAAATAATTAAATTTCTTGCAAAAAAATTAATTAAAAGGTTTAAAAATAAGTTACTTCTTACGAGAAATTTAATTAAAATAATATTAAAAATATTTAAATTCTTATAAAGAGTTTTATCAAAATTTTTCGAGAAATTTTTATTAATTACGAAAATAATTGAAATCGAGCCTTCCAATTTAATAACTCGCCCGACGCTCGGATTAACGCGTTGATGCAAGTCAAACCTTCAAAAAACTCAAAAAATTAAAATTCGAAATTTTAATTTTTCAAAAGCACTACCTTATTAGGAAATTCAGGGCTCAAAGCAGTGATATTATTTAAAAATACGGACTTTACGGACCAACTGACAAAAATAGAATCAGTCCGAATCAAATAAAAGAACACCCCAGTAGCACGTAATATTACAGCGATATTGGGAACATTGCCTTAACATTACCAATATTGTCTCAATGTTGTGGCATATTGCTGGAATGTTCCCAATATTACGTGCTACTTGGGCATTTTACTTAAAACTAGAAATTTTATTATTTTTAAGAATTTTTAGCTAAAATTCTTCTTTATATCGATAATTTTTAATAATTTTCGAAAAAGTTCTTTGACAAATTTCCAAATTCATTTCTTTACAATATTCAATTTTACGAAATTTCATTTATTCGTAAATTCTTTAATTAAATAAATATTAGAAAATAGAAACTAAAAATAATATTTAAAAAACTTAATTAAACTTTTTCAAAAAAATTAATTACAAAATTCAATTATATTTTAAAATTCACGCTATATTGCTTTTAATATTCAACTAGCGTCATACTCCTCGCTCGCTAACGCTCGCTCGGAAGACATTTTCTTATTTATTTCTACTTACATAAATAGTTTTTGAGGTAAAAATTTTGTTAAAAAAATTTTTAACAAATTTTTTTTTTTTTTTTTAATTTTTAACGTTTTTTTTACGTCGCTCGTATGAGAGTTTTCTCATATTTCTCATACGAGCTACCGAGCTCGTATACGAACTCCGCGGTCCGTGTATCGAATTTTTTTTACCGCTTAAGGCCATGTTATTTCCATAGTAAAGTATATGGGGCACGTGACCACTGAATAACATGACCTTAAGCGGTAGTCAATTTTTTTAGATCAAAATTCCATTTGGATTTTGTAATCTTAGAAAAAGTGGTTATTCGAGTATAAAAACATTATTTGAAATTATATAACATTTGTTAAAGTAAACATTCTATCAAATAACATTTATATAAACATTAAAAAATATATTTTATGGTAATAATTTGAAATAATAAAGGTTCGAGAAAAGAAAGTTTTCATAACATAAGTATTTTATTAACTTGCATTTTGAAAAATTCAGCATTTGAATAAATGACAACTAGAAAATAATAATATTAGGATTAATAACAATTTTACCAGTTAAATTTTCATTTTCTTCAGTATTGGACGGTATATTTTAATTAATAAACAAACTTTTAAATTAATACTTTTTGGAAAATGGCGCCAAGCAGAACCAATAAACATCGTTTTTTCAAGCATGCGCGCAAGCGATTAAAATTTCCGAAAAGTAAGTAAAAACCAAAAACACGTGGATGTGTAAAATAAACATAAATAAAAACTCCAAAATAATGTTTTGTATACATTATAAATAATTTTAAGCCATTAAAATATTATAAACAATATCTGTTACGAATTTTCTTTAATTTTAAAAAATGGAATCAATTAGTGAACTTGAAACATATCTTTTATTGAATTATATCGTTGGCGATGAAGGTAAGGAAATTGTTTATTTCTCACTAATAATATATTTAATTTCTGTAATATTAAAATCTTATTATTCGCTTATTCTTACTATTAAAATTTTTTAATTATTAATATCGATTTTTTTAATCTAAATATAAAAAAACTTTCTAATTCTATTACATAACCTCAAAATTGTTTTTTAAAAATCTTTTTTAATAAATTATAATAACTATTAATACTATTATTAATATTTAACAGTAAAGACAAGTTGTCCAAAAGCTAATAATTATTATTATAAACCAGTGTTTATCGTAAGAATATTTAAATCACAAATAATTTTTTTAGACATTCACATACCTTCGGTAGTAAAACAAGTTTTTGATGGAAAATACGAATTACTGCTTCAAACTGAAAATCTATTGTCATTGTTGAAAACAAGTGATAATATTGAAGAAACAATTGTAAAACTCATTGAAACAGATGCAGATCAACATTTAAATTGGCTCTCAATTGGAATTGCTTCCTTATTTTATTTCATCCAACATAATTGGACGGGACCATCGATTAAAGTAGAAATTGAAAATTTTTCACATCTTCGTGAAAGGGCTTTGAAAAATTTATCATTACACGATGAATGCAATGAGAATACGAGTAGAGGGGAATTTTTATATCTTGCAAAATTAATTTTCTCCAATAAACAATTACAATCGTCATTTGAGAGTTGTTCCTGGTGGTTATTTAGAGCAAATTTTATACATCAACTAATTCTCGATGATTATTCAACAATAATATTTGAAGAATCGGAGAAATTAATGGAAAATATTTCAAAATTCAATTTGTTGGCGAATGATTGTTTAAAAACAATTTTTAATTTGGAAATAACGTATTTCTATTTATCCTATAAACGTGTACAAAATTCGGAGAAATATTTCGAAATTGCCGAAAAATTGGCTGGATTAAAATTAGAATTGCAAGGTGCATTAGGTGTACGTACGAAATATCAACAGGTGAAGAATGCTCAATTATTTTTGAAAGTTGAAATTGAAAAAGAATTATTTCCATCAAGATCGTGTGATATTATGCCAGTGGCTTTGAATTTAAATGATGATTTGAGATTGGAGAAGATTCAATTTTCAGAGGAGACACAAAATGTGAAATTGGGATCTATTGAAGAAGCGATTGTCATGACGAAATAGTAAAGAAATTTTTATTTTTAATAAAATAATATTTTTTTTCATATTACAGGGCTCGAACTTGGTCCGCAAATCCCGTAAAGGTGCGTAAATTTGCTTCAAGTCCGTAAAATGATTGCAGAAATTTAATTATTTTCAAAAATTTTAATAAAATTCTTGGCAAAATTTCAATTATTTTCAAAAATTTTCCTCAATTCAATGCTTTTCAATATCTACTACTTTAATCAAATTTTCCAAAAGAATCCAATTATTTAAAATTTTTTTAATAAAATTCTACTCAAACAGTATTTAATTATTTTCATAAAATAATAAAAATTTCACAGGTATTCAATTATTAACGAGTTTTTTATAAATTTCTTCGCAATAATTTAATTATTTTCATAAATAATAACATTTTTACAGGGATTCAATTATTTTCAAAAAATTTAATAACATTCTTGGTAAAAAGAATTCAATTATTTAAACAAAATTTTAATAAAAATGTCACATGAATTCAATTACTTAGCAATTTTTTATAAATTTCTTCGCACCAATTCAATTATTTTTAATTTTATAATGAAGTTTCTCGAAAGAATTCAAATATATTCAGAGAATTGAAAGAAATAGTTCTGAGAAATTCAATTATTTCGAATAATTTAAATAAAATTACAGGGTTGCTACAGAACCTGGAAAACCTGAAAAAGTCCGGGATTTTTTTAAAAAAAAGGTCTGGAATACCTGGAAAAGTCAGGGATTTTTTTAAAAATGGTCTGGAATACCTGGAAATGTCATGGAAATTTGAAATGCCTGGAATTTTATTCCACTTAATATTTTTTCCTACATTTTTTCTTTTAAAAAATGATGTCCTGGAATTCCTGGAAATGTCCTGAAATATCCTTGAATTTTCCATATTTTGCTTTTAAATATTCAATAATTTAAAAATTTTACTCAAATTTAAAAAAATAATTTTTTTGATCCATCAAAAAATAATTTTAATTTGTCGTTTGATTAAAGAATCTGATATCTATATATTATATAATATTGATTTTTAACTCTTTTTATAATAAAATTAATATTTTTGTTCAAGTAGGTTAATTTAAATTATGTTAATCGTAATATGAAATAATATTACACATGTAAATGTCCTGGAAAAATAAAAAATCTGTCCTGGAATTTTAAGTCATATTTTCAGTAGACACCCTGTCTGTGCTTTAATAATCAAATAGAGATAATCTAACGTGAAAATTTTTATAATACAGAAAAATTCTAATTTATTATTATTAGGCCAATTTTTCTTCAAAAATTGCTCTAATTTATAATGTTCAAAAGGTGACCTGAAAATTTATCAGATTTGGTACTGGAAAACATGGAAAAGTCATGGAAATTTAAAAACAGACTTCTGTAGCAACCCTGTAATTAAATTCTATTATTTAAAAAAATTTTGACAAAATTCTTTACAAGATTTAGTTAATAAAATTGCAATTTTAATAAAACTTTCCTATTCAATTCAATTATTTTCAATACAATTCTTCTTATGAATTCAATTATTTTCACAAATAATACATTTTTTATGGGAATTCAACTATTTTAAAAAATTTGAATAAAATACTTCGCAAGAAATCAATTACGCAAACATTATTTAATTATTTTCATAAAATAATAAAAATTTCATAGGAATTCAATTATTTACAAATTTTTTATAAATTTCTTCACAATAGTTCCATTATTTTCATAAATAATACAACTCCTTGTAGAATTTTAATTATTTTTAATAAAATTTTTCGAAAAATGTAATTATTTTTAAAAATTTTATTAAAATTCGTCAAAAGAATTAAATTATTAAAAAAATTTTTGATAAAATTCTTTATGAGAATTCATTTCTAAGAAACATTAAAATAGTCAATAAATTATTTTTTTGTATTTAAATGATTGAATTCTAGTAGAATTTTCTAATAAAAATTGATTTAATGATAAATTTCAGTTAAAAATAAATTAATATGAAATTTCTCAAAAAACTTTTTCAAGAAATTATATTAAAAATAATGGATTTATAATAGAAAAATTTTAGTTCAAAACACTAAAAAATAAAATCCTTCGCAGAAATTTAATTATGTTTTAAAACAATTATTTTAATCGAATTTCTCGTAAAATGTAAAAATTGTAGAAAGAATTAAATTATTTAATAATTTGTTAATAAAATTTTTTATGAGAATTGAATTTTAAGAAGCAATGAATTATTAATAAATTATTTATTTTTATATTTAAATACATAATTGAATTCTAGTAGAATTTTTTGATAAAAATTGATTTAAAAATGAATTTCAGTTGAAATTTTATCAATTTGCCATTTTTAGTTCAATTATAAAACATGAAGAAATCGATCATTCCGAGTCGAAGACTTGGAGTGATCGATATTTTCATGTTTTGTAGTTATGAAAAAATTTAATTTATAGTTTTAAGTAAAATTTGTCCGTAAAGTCCGTATTTTTAAATACTTTCACTGGTTCGAGCTCTGATAATATTCAAACGTAATTTAATTGGAAATGTTTTAAGTTTTCAGCTACAAATTTCGCAACCTAAACATCAGCTTACTTTTGAAGAAATTACACCGTATTTATCGGTAAGTAATTTTTTATTTTTTCTAATCAAGTATTAACTGAAAATGTACATAATTTAAATAAAAAATTAAATTTTACAGAGAGTGATTGAAAATACAAATAATTGGTCCCTGAAATTATCGTCATTGTATCAAAGATGTGTTAATGAATCGAATCACAAGAGAACGATTGAACGATCAATAGCGCAAATGGAATATTTAATTGATCAGGTGAATGATGATAAGGTACAAATTTCATATCGCATGGATTTGTTTTTTGTGAGTGGTTTAAGACCAAAATGGTCATTCAAACAAATGCTCGCTGATCAAAAATTGAATTTAGGACTCGTTAAAGGAGCTCTCGATCTCTATTTGAGTCTTCATCTTTGGGAAGATGTTATTCTTTGTTACACGATTCTTGGCCTAAAACACAAGGTAATTATTTATTATTGATTAATTAAACAACTATCTTTATTATTTTTTACTACTTTATTTAATTTATAAATAATTCAAATATTACTTTAGCTAATAACACAAATATTAATTTTTAATAATTCCTTTTTATTGAAAAAGAGATTTCAATTTAATTTAAAAAACTATTTTCAGGCTGCGGAAATTATAAAGCAAGAAATTGATAAAAAACCGTCAGTGAAATTATGGTGTTTACTTGGAGATGCAATGGAGGAAGAGGGACATTATGAAACTGCTTGGAAATTGTCCGAAGGAAAAAGCAGTCGTGCACAACGACATTGGGGAATCTTCCATTTCAATAAGAAAAATGTAAGGACACAGAAATTTTATCTACAGTTTACTTATTATCCCTTTAGAGAAAGAAAAAATTGTATCAAAAATAAGGAATTTGTAGAATCAAATTTTTTTGTTTTTTTAAACATTTTTTTCCTCTTTACAAAACAATAAGAAAATTTGCTTTTTTTAATATTAAAGCAGTATTGTATTTTAAATCAATTTATTTTGAAAGATAAAAAATTCATTTATTAACTGTAATTAATTATTATTTATTAATTATAATTTTAAAATTTTTTTAAAGAATTCTTCTAACGATTTTAATTATTTTCAATACAATTTTAACGAAATTTCTCAAAATTTGAAAATATTTCTAACAATTTTAATAAAATTCTTCGCATGATTTCTATTATTTTTATGAATAATACAATTTTTTGCAAGTATCCAATTATTTTCAATGCAATTATGAAATTTCTCAAAATATTAAATTATTTTAAAAAAATTTTAATATCCTAATTCTTTGCAGAAATTCAATTCTTTTCAAAAATTTTGTTAAAATTCTTTCTAAAAATTATTATTTCAGTACTTACAATTTTAATTAGAAAATTTTGGATTTTCAAATATCAACTTAAATTTTGTGAATAATTTCATATTCAAAATTTCAAAAAAATATATTTAACAAATTAATTATTAATAAAAATAATTTATAATAATTAAAATCATTATCAATTCAATTATTATTTTTAAAAATTTTATCTAAAATTCTTCTTTATATCGATAATTTTTAATAATTTTCGAAAAAGTTCTTTGACAAATTTCCAAATTCATTTCTTTACAATATTCAATTTTACGAAATTTTAATTATTCGTAAATTCTTTAATTAAATAAATATTTAATTAAAAATAATTGAAATTCTGCATCAAATTTTATTATTTATGAAAATAATTGAATTTTTGCGAAGAATTTTATTAAAATTTTCAAAAATAGTTAAATTCTTGTAAAAAATTAACAAGAATTCAATTATTTTCAAAAATATCAGAATTTTAGCAGAAATTCAAACATTTAAAAAAGTTTTGATAAAACTTCTTTTTGGTAGAAATTTAATTATTTTTAAAATTTAATGAAATTCTTCGAAAGAATTCAATTATTATAATCTAAGATTTTAACTGAAATCTATTTTTAAATCAATATTTATGAGAAAATTCTATCAGAATTCAATTATTTAAATACAAAAATAAATAATTTATTGTATAATTGAATGTTTCTTGGAATTCAATTTCTATTACAAATTTTATCAACAAATTTTTAAATAATTAAATTCTTTGGACGAATTTTAATAAAATTTTAAAGAATTTTTTCGAGAAATTCGATTAAAATTCTATTGAAAATAATTGAATTTTCCTAAAAAGAATTTTATTATACTTTTGAAAATAATTCAAATTTTGCAATGGATTTTATTAAAATTTTTGAAAATAATTGAATATTATTACTTTAAAAAATAATTGAATTCGTGTGATAAATATTGTTAATTATGAAAATAATAAAAAAATTTTAATGAATTTTATTAAAATTTTTGAAAATAATTGAATTTTGTCGAAGAATTTTAATATTTCTAAAGATAATTAAAATGTTGACAATGTTTTTTTAGATTTTTTGAAAATAATTGAATTTTGGAGAAGAATTTTAATATTTCTAAAGATAATTGAAATTTTGACGAGAATTTAAAAAATTTTTTGAACATAACTGAATTCTTGCGACGAATTTTATTACTTTTAAAAATAATTGGCTTTCTGCAATCATTTGTAATTTCTCTAAAATTCTCAAAATTATATCGTACAATTTACGAACTTTTCTTCATCTTTTTTGAATGAAATTACGGACTTTACGGACTTTTTTTAAAAAAACGGACTTTTACGGACTTGAAGCAAAGTTACGGACTTTTTCAGGATTTACGGACCTACTACGAGCCCTGCAATATTTATCGTAAGAATTCAATTATTTAAAAAAATTTTAATATTTTTAATTTAATATTTCTTTTTTGCAGTATGTTGAGGCTGTGCCGCATCTAAAACTTTCTGCAGAGTTGAATAATATCCAAGAAACGGTTTGGTCGAGACTTGGATTCGCTTGCTTACAAATTGAAAACTGGGAATTGGCCGCTACAGCTTACAGAAAATTTTGCGCTTTAGAACAATCGGTGAGAAGTTATTCAATTAGTTAATCAATTAGGTTATTTGAAAATAAATAAAGTAATTATTAGTGAATCAGTTAAGTAATTTTTAATTAAATTCACTGATTAGGGAATCAATTAAGTAATTAAGAAAAAAATAAAGTGAGAAGTGAAGCTTTTAAGTAATTACTTAATGATAATTAAGTAATTAGTAAATCAATTACTTAATCATTTAAACTATTATTCACAAATCAAATCTTTAAATGATAAATTTGTTATAGTTAAAGAATTATTTTCTTTTTTAAAGTGCTTATAACAATTTTACCATTTTCTTTTCATTTATCATTCTAGAGTTTCGAGGCGTGGAATAATCTAGCAAAAGCCTACATAAAATTAGGCGAGAAGCAAAGAGCTTTTCGAGCTCTTCAAGATGCAATAAAATGTAATTATGATCGATGGGAAGTTTGGGATAATTTAATGGTCGTCAGTATTGATTTGGGACGATTTACCGAAGTGATTCGCTGCTATCATCGAATTATTGAAATCAAAGGACAACATTTAGATGTTCAAATTTTGAATATTTTATCGAGAGCAATAATTGACGATATCAATGATGCCGAAGGTAATTCATCAAGAATTATTTTATCAAAGGCTTTAGAACTTTTTGGACGTATAACATCAACATTACCAAATAATTCTGAAGTTTGGCGACTTTACGCCGAATTAAATTCATTGCAAACTGACGATATTAATAATCAAAAAACAGCGCAATATTTACAGAGAGCATATCGTGCCTCTGTTTCCGATCCAAAATGGTATCAAAGAATTGAATCTATTGAAAATGTTTTAAATATGTGTATCAAATTGTCCGATGCTTATGAAAATTGTTCAAAAAATTGTTCTGATCAACAAAAACGTAGCCTTCTTGGTAGTGCAAAATTATCACTGCAATCGGTTATTAAAAAAGTGAAAGATCAAGAATTGAGTGAAAAGCAAGAAATTATTGATCATTTAATGAAAGTTGAGGAAAAATTGGAAATTATTTTGTCTAATTTAGAGAAAATAAAATAATAATGAAAGATGTGAAATAAATATTTTTTTCTTGGAGATTTATTATTCTTTTTATTAAAAATATACAAAAAAATATCTAAAAATCTTATTCTGAAGAAAAGATAGTAAATTTGTATGTTTATAAATGAACTTCTTTAAGTAACCAACTATCTATTAATATGAAAATAATTTGAATTGAAAATTGTTTTCCAACTTAAAATACAGTCTGTCCAATAGCGATTCGTCCATCGAAATAATATTCCGTGTAGAATTGCATTAAGAAAGCTCCACCAAGTTGCCAAAAATCACCGTCTTCTTCAACAAAAGGTGACAAACATGCTTCCATACTCTTAAAGTTCATCTAAAAAATTTATTTAAAAGTAATAATTATAGTCATATTCATAAAATTCTATATTCTTCAATAATCTTTTTGCTTACTCTTTGCACGTAGTATTTTGACTCAATAGTGAAATTTTTATTTTCTATTATAAAATGTATGCGAGGTAGTCTTGCATATTCTCTACAATCAACCTAAAAATTAAAAAAAAATTATTAATTTAAAAAATGAACTTTTAATCGATATGATTTTTTTAATTATTGTTACTGATAATACATTAAAAAAAAAAGAAAAGCAATTAACAATGATTAAGAATTTACCACATATCTTCCAATTTGAGGTGCAATATTTTTGGCATTTAATAAATTATTGATTCTCATTATTTCGTTTCTTGGTCCCTTTATAGTGTTCGTACTGGTACTCATAATTGCCGCTGTTTTACCAATAATTTTAAAAGTTTTCTTAGCACTTTCCAGCATAATTCTGTACAAATATAATTAGTTTTTTATTACTATACTAATTATTTATCTATTTAAATACCTACGCTAATTATTATAATTAGTGTTTCATTTTTAATTTTATATTTAATATATTTCCGAATTCATGGATTTCTTTTTTTTGGAATTTAAAAAATTTTATTTCGTTTCAAAATAAATAAAAAAGAAATATAAGTAAAAAAAAAGTTACAAATGGCAATAACAAATAAAAATAACAAACAAAATGTTATATCAAAATTAAAGTCTTCTTATTTGTATAACAATTATTTTTCTTTTTTAAACTACGTAATTAAATTATTACTATAGAGTCGAAGAGAAAAAATACATGCTATTATGAAATAAAAATGTTCGAGATTAAAATTAATGAGCGTAATTGAAATATAAAAAAATATTACGAGTCAATTTGAATTTGCCAATATTGTTTCTTAGTTACAGGAGTAAATGTTAAATCTCCTTTTAGATGTTTTCTTTCGGTTCCTCCCAAAATTAATCGTCCAGCTTTATCAGTCGTTTCATCCCTGAATAATAAATATTAGTTTTTATATTATTTATTTATTATTGATCATTGTTTTTTCTTTCTAAAAAACACTAATAATTATTAATTGTTAATTAACAATAATAATAATAAAAAATATATAAACTTGTTCTACCTATTCATATAAACTGTGAATACGGGTTCTTTAACGACTTTTTGTCGTACCAAATTATAAAAAAATGGAATAGAATTCGTTTCACTTAAACTTTGAAATCCTAAACCAACAATTCCATCAGCTCTCATAAATGCAAACGTCTTGAATGACATGTGAGTCATTTCAATGAAAGTTTGGTTCGTTACATTTTTATGAGGCAACTAAAATCGAAAAATAAAATTTTAATTAATTTTCAATTTTAACTAACGAAAATCTTACAAATAACTATTTAAAAATTATTATTTATTCAAAAACAACTAATTAACTAATTATTTAATCAATTATTCATTGAATACTATTTAAGAAAATAAATAATAATTAAATAGTACAATAAATATTTATAGGTAGGTACTATTAACTAATAATAGAAAATTTAATTAATAAAATAGATAATTAGTTCCTATTTTATTATTAATAAAGTGATAAATTAACTGATAGCTAATTAATTCCTAATTTAATTATAATTATACATAAGTAAAAATTAATTAAATACTAATTAGTGAATTAATAAATAAGTAAAAAGTAATTATTGACAAATTAATTTGTAATTAAATACATTCAAGTCATTATTTAATTAATATTGATTATTGAATGATTTTCCGGAAGAATTTAATTATTTTTATAAATAGTAAAATTCTTTGCAAGAATTCAATTATTTTCAATACAAATTTAATAAAATTTTTCGAAATAAATCAATTGTTTTCTAGAAGTTTAATAAATTCATAGAAATAATTCATTTATTTTCATAAATAGTAAAATTCTTCTGAGAAATTCTATTATTTTCAATACTTAATTTACTAAAATTCAAAAATCAAAATTTTAATTACAATTATTAAGGAACAAAATTATTTAAAAATTTAAAAAAAAATTCTTTTATTCAATTCAATTATTTTCAAAATATTTTAATAAAATTCAATAATCAAATGTTTACTTTCAATTATTAACAAACACGATTTTTATGAGATAAGTTGAAAAAAATTGTTCATAAAATTCAATTAAAATTATTAGAAAAACTCAAATATTTTACAAAAATTCAAAGAAATCCTTCAGAAGAATTTAATTAAGATTTTACAAAAATGTTTATAAAATTCTTCACATCAATTCTTTTATTTTCATAAATAATAAAATTTTTCGAAGGAATTCAATTAATTTCAATACAATTTTAATAAATTTTTTCGAAAGAATTCAATTGTTTTCTAAAATTTTAATAAATTATTGGTAACAATTCAATTATTTTTATAATATAGTAAAATTCTTCTGAGAAATTCAAATATTTTCATTACAATTTTAATAAAATTCAAAAATCAAATTTTTAATTATAATTATTAACGAACAGGATTATTTTAAAAATTTGAAAAAAATTCTTTTGTTCAATTCAATTATTTTCTATATTTTAATAAAATTGCTTGAATGAATTCAATTATTTTAAAAAATTTTAATAAAATTCAATAATTAAATGTTTATTTTCAATTATGACCAAACACGATTTTTATGAAAATTTGAAAGAAATAGTTAATAAAATTCAATTACATTCAAAATTTTCAATTAAAGTTATTAAATAAACTCCAATACTTTACGAAAATTCAAAGAAATCCTTTAGAAGAATTTAATTAGTATTTTCAAAAGTTTTTATAAAAATTCTTCGCATGAATTCTGTTATTTTCATAAATAATAGAATTCTTTGAAGGAATTAAATTATTTTAAAATTGTTTGATAAAATTTTTTGCAAGAATTCAATGATTTTCAATACATTAATTTTAAAATTGAAATCATTTCATTAATTTTTCTTTCTTTGAAAAAAAATTATTTAAAATGTTAGGAAAGAAAAAAAATTATTTCCTATTTAATTATTAATAATTATAAGTAGGAAACTAATAATATTAGTTTGTAAATAATTAATTAATTAACATTCGATTAGTTAATAATTAATCAGTACTAAATTAATTATTAATTAATATTTCAATTTATTTATTACTGAAATTTTTTTAATGAATTAAAATAAAATCTTTTATTTTAATTAAAAAAAAATTATTCATAATTTTTCTTTTTAATCATTCTGGAAGTGTTGCATAATATTTTGCAATTATTATTTCTTACATAAAAATTGTCTCTGGAAAGAAATCCTAAGAGTGAATATGTATCTCCAGTGATGTTCACAACAGTTCCGTCTGCCTGATAAGTTGAAGACTTTGTGTTATCGTATCTCGTATGAGTCACTAAAATTAAATTTAGAAAACTACATTAATATATTGTAGTTCGGATTTTAATATGAGTGAATTTTTCTTTGTTTGATTTAATAAATTTCTTACTGCAAGCAATTTCTATTAAATCGCATCTTGAAGAAGGAACCCAAGTATCGCTCCAAGTTGTGTCAAAAATAACTTTAAATTCCTTCGCTGGTTGGCCAATTTTTATTAAACCGTAATATTCGGACTGGAAAAAAATTATTTTATAAATAGAAATATAAAGAATATATTATTTTTTAATTAATTTTTTAATTTATTAATCATTAATTATTTTCAATTAAAATATTTTAAAGGAGAAATTTTCAATATATACTTACATCCATAAATTTATACAAGACGACTGATTCATTTTGTGGAGGTTGAGGTAAACTATTGTCTAATTGTTGTAACAATCTTGATGGATATTTCTTATAAATATCTATTCTAAAATTCATTTTTAAAAAATACGAATTAGCTAAATTTCTTTTTTTTTTATTTTTTTCTTTACCACTTTTTTCTCTGCCTTCTTATTGTTAATTATAAAAAGTTAATTATTATTAATAAAAAATTAATTATAAAATTATGAAATAAATTTTTTTTGGTTTTCAGTAAACAAGTAGTGCTTGAATTAAAATCAATTTTAAAATCGAATCATTCGATTAGTAATTTTGATTTTGATTTATTAAATATTTACCTATTTCGTTCGAAAGAATGTTTAAAAGAAATTTTTTACTTACTCGAGGACAGAAGCTTCTATGAATGACGCAATTGTTGACAAAATCGCAAAAAAAAGAAAACTTTTCCTTAAAAACATTTTCTATAATTTTTCCAAACCTTTCAGTCAGATTTTTTTGTTTCGTTAATTAAAATTAAGATTTTTTTCTATGTTTACCAGATCACTGACGACATATAACTGAGAAGTATTTTAAAGGGACAAAATTACACTTGTTAAACAAAGAGAGGTAATTCCCAGATGTTTTGTTTTGGGACTCAACTTTTTGTTTTTCATCGTATTGCCAACTGAGAAATAGATTAATTTTTGAATTTGTTCCAATTAATAACGCTAGATGTCGCCTTTTTGATACTTCCGGTTTTTAAATAATTGCATACGTTCTTTTTTTACGATATTTTCGGATAAATATTCTACCTAATTGTCATTAACAGTCATTAATGACGGGATAAAAGTGTAATTTTGTTTCTAGAAAAATTTAATAAATGTGATTATTAATGATATGAGGTAAAAAGTGTGTATCTAAGATTAAAAACGAAATATTGCGCAATACCAGTAATCGGTACACTACATTTTTTTATGTGTGCGAGAGAATTAAAATGGCGACGCATACTTCATCGTGGTGGCGGTTGTGAATGTTTTACTCCCAAAAAAAGACAAGTATGACGAAGGTCTCAATTACGTATTATCTGTATTAAACACGTGGTCTATTTATTTTTATAAACTTAATGAACACAATATAAACACGAGTGATTTTTCACTTTAAAAAAGAAGATAACGCGATTAGTGGTGCAATTTTATGTTATGTTAAAAAATGTCAAACTATTATAACGATTATAACCTACAAATGCGTGGCGACGGACGCAGAAAATTCGGTTGTGACTTACAAGACGTTCAAATTGAATCATTATTAGGTAAGAAGAACAATTTTTGCTTTATATTCTTTAAAAATTGATAGTAATTGTATATTTCCTGAAGTTTTGTTTTGGGTAAAATAAACTTGACTTTCTTGTGTTAACCTGTTGCATGACATTTTTGTTGTATTTTTTTAATATTGAAATTGAATTTTATTGTTAATTGGATTAATTATTTTATTGTTTTTTTAATATTTATTTTTAATACTACAGATCGTAGGTTCGGTTACGTTGATCGTCAAGGAAATGATACACGAGAAGTACGAATGGGAGGTGACACCATAATGGCTGGTGTAAGACCACGAATTTCTTTTAAACAGAAAACAAGAGTAACAATGCCACGAAATTTGTCATTTGCTGCGCAAAATCTTCTCGATGATGACGACGATTTGGAAATGTCTTCCATCAACAATAACAATAATAATAATTTTCATGAGAGACAAGTTTTTCTTAAAACACGAGGTCGAAGTCTTCTTAATGGTAGACTGGGAGTAATTCCCCAAAAGGATTTAAGATGTAGACTGACACAAACAATTCTTGCTGACGCCTATTGGTATAAAATTACAGTAAGTGGAGATTTAAAAGTAAATAGATATTCAAATATTTTTACAATGATCACAGTTTGTCATCTATTTAAAATTTTCTCATCTTTTTTATCTATTTTAACCATATTTTTTTACCATTTTCACCTTTTTATATTGATTTGATATTATTTTTAAAGTAATGCATTTCAGAAATAGTTCAATTTTGCACTGTGAATCCAGGTAAATTTTAATTTATTCTAATTATAATAAATTTTTACATGAATTAATCGGAGTTGTCATGCAACCTGGTAATGTCAGGGAATTTTATAAACCTGGAAAAGTAAGGGAATTATGATCGGAATCCTGGAAAATTATTGTTTTCTAAAATTATGGGGCTTATTCTTGAAATATAATTTTTCTTAAATATTTCAAAATTAATTCAATTTTAAAAGAGTTGCGTTTACAGTTTTCATAAATAGATGAACTTCAAAAGGTTTTAATTTGAAATTTTGAATGAATTAATTAAATAATAAAAATTCCACAGGAATTCTATTATTTACAAATTCTTTATAAATTTCATCGCAATAATTCAATTATTTTCATAAATAATCAAATTTTTTACAGGGATTCAATTATTTTCATAAATAATTGATAAATAATAAAACCCATCGCAGAATTTCAATTATTTTTAATACAAATTTTAATGGAATTTCTCGAAAAATGTAATTATTTTCCAAAATTCAATTATTTTCAAAAATTTTAATAATATTCTTGGCAAAATTTCAATGATTTTCAAAAACTTTTCTCAATTCAATCAAATTTTTTACAGAGATTCAATTATTTTTCATACAATTTTAATCTAAGTAATTTCTCGAAAAATGAAATTATTATTAAAAATTTTATTGAAATTCGTCTAAAGAATTTCAGTTAAAATTTTATATAATAATTGAATATTAAACTCTCTAGTAAAAAATGTTTTCTAATTTGAATTAGTGACTGATTTTTTGCTTTTGAATTAGCAGATTTTACTAATAAATATAGTCGTTTCTACTAATTTAATAGTAAAATTTATTAATTCAAAAGCAAAAAGTCAGTCACTAATTCCAATTAGTAAACATTTTTACTAATTCAAATTTAGAGAGAAAGTATTATAGCGTGAATTTCTAGAAATGATTGAATTTTGATAAGGTTTCAAATTATAATCTTTGAATGTTTGAAATTTACACACTTTTAACTAAAAATTGTGTAGATTTAATTTTTTTGAAAAAGTTTAATTGAATTTTTTTAAAGTTATATGAAGTTTTTATTTTCTAATATATATTTGATTGAAGCATTTTATTAGTCGGTCATTTTTAATTATTATAAAACATGAAGACATCGATTGCTCCGAGTCGAAGACTCGGAGTGATCGATTTCTTCATGTTTTATAACAATTTTTTATAAGTTATTTAATTTGAAAAAGGTTTGAATTTGAAATTTTTTTAAATCTTAATTTTTATGGAAAAATTATAATGACTAAATATTTATTTAAAAATGATAAATATAACAATTCGGAATACAGTATCATATGAAAGTTCCATGTATTTGTAAAAATTTATTGAAATTATTTAATTTTGTAAAATATAAATGTAGTTTTTAAAACCTGGAAAAATTCCGTTTTTAACCTGGAAAATCTGTTAAAGTCAGGGAATTTGAAATAAGCAAAAGTGTGGTAACCTTGTATTAATGCAAAAGTTAATTTATCCAAATTTTAATCTATTGAAAATATAATTTATTGAAATTTCACTCAAATTTTTATTTATTAATATTTCATTTCAATTTATTCCAATTTTAATGAATTTTCACTGAAATTAATTGTAACTTTAATTTATCCAAATTTTAATCAATTTCAAAATATAATTTAGTATAAAAAAATTTCAATGATAGTCAAGTTTTAATTTTCATCAATAATATTTTACAAAAATTCTGATTGCAAGAAAAATTAAATTCATGTTTAATTGTAATTCATGCTTTTGATAATTGACCATTGTTGCCACAGGTCAGGAAATGTCATGGAATTTTATTAAAAGTAGTGAAAAAAATTAAATTTTCAGAATTCATAAGAAAATTCTGAATTTTGATGTCTTCTTTGTTTGCCTCATAAATACAAAACCTTCAATATTTTCTAATTCTGACAATAATTTCTTTTTAAATAACTTACACAGAAAAAAATTTTAACCCGGAACTAAAAATTTCGCTAAAATAGAGAAATTTGTAACTGCTCGAGATGAAACTTTTTTTCTGTGTAATTTTTGAAGAACTATCAAAAAATTAATTCTTAAAAATTATTTAATAAATAATTTTACTCAAATATTTCAATGTTAATTGAATTTTAAAAGAGTTGCATTTACAATTTTTATAAATAGATGAACTTCAAAAGGTTTTTATTTAAATTTTTGAATTTCATTAGAAATTTTAAAGAACTTAGGTTTTTGAAAAATTTTAACAATTCAATTTCTTCTGAAAATAGTTACATTGTTTAATATATATTTAATTAGTTATAAATAATAGTGGATTTATAGAAGATTTTTAGTTAAAAACACTACAAAAAAAATTGATTTGAAAAAATTACAAATGATTGCATGGATTTTTAGAAATAATTGAATTTCAAAAAGGTTTCAAATTAAAATCTTTGAAAATTTGAAATTTTCACACTTTTAACTAACAATTTTGTAGAATTAAATTTTTTGAAAAAATTATAATTGAATTTTTTTAAAATTATTTGAAGTTTTTATTTTCTAATAATAATATGCCTATTTAATTGAAGAATTTCCGAATAATGGAATTTTTGTAAAATTGAATTGTAAATTTAATTTTGAAATCCATTGATTTGAAAAAGATTTGAATTTGAAAATTTTGAAACTCTTAATTCCTATCAAAAAATAATAAAGATTAAATATTTATTTAAAAAATTAAGTTATTGATGTTTTTCGAATTATTTTACAATTAAAGAAATTCGTAAATAAATGCAATAGAACATTTTTTTTGAGTATCTAATTATTTTGATACTGAATCATAATATTTTTTAGTGGCAACCCTGTTGACGCAAAATTTTTGTAATAAAATTTCATTTTAATGAAAAAATATATAAATTTTGTTTATATGAACGTTCAGAATTTGAAAAGCATTCGATTCAAATTTTAATGTATTAAAAATTAAAATTTCAATTTTATTTGAAGATTTTAACTCAATTTTCAACTAAATCCAATTTTTAATCAGTCCTAATTTTTATTATAGTTAAAAAATTTATTAAATAAATTTATTTAGTTTATATGTTCCTACAGTTTTGAATGTTCAAATGAACGAAATTTATTTATTTCTACACCGAATTAAATTTTTATTATAAATTTCCTTCACTATCGAAACAAGGAAGTTATTTTTTATTTATTTACAAGTAATGTAACAATAGGCCTGTAGCCTTTTTACATAAGTGTTTCTTCTTTTCTCATTCCTCCCTATTCACACAAACAAAACGCTCTTATCTTTACTAAATTGTTTACAAAATAGAATAATTTTTTTAGACTTTCACCGTTATCCACATTCAGCAATTCTGATAAAGAGTTTTGTCGCACATTTTCACTACAACATTCGTTATACGCGGGACAATCCATTAAGACGTGTTTTAAATTTTCATTCCTGTCCATATTACACATTAAACACTTTTCTTTGTCACTAAACTTATACACATAACCGAGTTTTATGTTCAATTGCCACTCTATTCTACCAGCCATTCTTAGCTGTGCCAAGAGTCTTGTGAACCTTAAGGGAATCTTCCAATTGAGGTACAACTCAGCATTTGGTTTTTTCATTGCCTTTATATATTTGTAGATAGGACAATACCTTGATTTAACTGCTCTTTCTCTATCCTCTATGAACTGCGATGTTCTCATTTTTGTTAAGTAGTCCTCGATGTCACTTGCACTTTTTATTTTTAATTCCATTCTTCCTTTTTCGCTGTTGTATACACATTTACTTGGATCTATTTTCATAATTTTATCCCTTAATTTCCTAAACCAGTTGAACTTCTTCTTCGTGTCATATTTTTTATCCGCATCCTCCATTAGTTTTATCAAAAAAATCTTTGGCAGCCTCGTATCCTCCATTTTTTCTATTCTGACCAATAATCTTAAAGCCCGTTTCATCACTTCTACTATTAATTTAGAATAATTAATTTCCAGTCTCAGTAGATATCCTGGTGTTCTACGAGGTAGACCCAGCATTTGTTTTACGAATCCAGATTGAACAATTTCTAATTCCTCTTCATAGTCTAGTCCCCAATTACCTGCATTGTATAAGAGAGTTGATGTGACGATTGCGTCAAATAGCTTCTGTCTCGAATTCCAACCTTCGGCTTTAGTTGCAATCAGTGGTTTCCAAATGGTCCCAATAGCAATTTTAGCTTTCGTCGAAAAATAGTTTACAGTCTTTGCAAAATTCCCAGATCTGTGAAATAGAGTCCCCAAGTATACATACTCGTCTACTACCTCAATACATTTCCCTCTGTATTTAAAACTTTTACAAGATTTTCTCTTTCCCCCCTTCTGAAATATCATAACTTTTGTTTTGTTAGTATTTACATTCAATTTATTTATTTCGCAGTAGTCACTTAATGTTTGTAGTTTTCTCTGTAGATCAGCCTCCGATTCTCCCGAGATAGTTAGGTCATCCGCGAAGAGCTGAATCTCTCCTTTTTCCTCTATACATTTGTACCCGTTTGACTCGAAAAAGTGCACCAAGTCCTGAAGGAAAAGTATAAATAGTACAGGACTTAAAGAATCTCCTTGGAGAACTCCCATAGTTATTTCTATTTCATCTGTAAATTTCCCGTCTTGCAATTTAACTTTCATCTTTGCGTTCTCGTAAATAGATCTGATGATTCTAATACATTGTCCACTTAATCCAATCTTATGAAGTTTTTGCCACAGCAATCCGTGATGAACCGAATCGAAAGCTCTCTGGAAATCTACAAATGTTGTGAAGAGTTTTCCTCGCTCTTTTTGTATAGTCAGGCATATTTTTGCTTGAAGCACAAAAATGTTGTCCTCACAAGATCTTCCAGCGCGAAAACCTGCCTGTCCTTCCGGTAAGAGTCCCATATTTTCCGCCCAGATACCCAATCTTTTAGCTAATATATTAGTAAATATTTTTAATATTGCGTTGGCTAAGGCAATACCTCTATAGTTCATGATGTCATTTTTGTTTCCTTTCTTAAAGAGTAGAATTTGCGTAAAATTACACCATTTTTTTGGGACCTCACTCGTATTTATAATCTCGTTAAATTTGTTTACAAGATACACTTTTGCGTTTCCAGGAAGAGCTTTGTAGAATTCATTGATAATTCCATCGTCCCCAGGAGCTTTGTTATTTCCTAGTTTTCGAAGAGTTAGGTTTAATTCATATATACTTATGTCCTTATCCAAATATGGGTGTCTTGCATCTAGGTAAATTTCATCTAAAATCACTCTTAATGGGAAAATATTCTCGTAGAACTCGAAAATTTCTTCACTTTTGAGATCACAGAAACTACCGCTTCCTTTTTTATTTCTAAACCTTCTTATTACCCCCCAGAAATCTGAACTGCTTTTAACTTTACTAACCTGTTTTTTTAAATCATCCACATTTCTTTTCTTTTCGCTTCTCACCGTTTCTCTATATTCTTTTCTTTTATCCACATATTCGATTCTAGATTCTTCCGAGTTAAGTCTTTTAAATTTCCTGTATGCTCTTCTAACTTCTCTTTTCTTTTCTTTACACTTTTTTGAGAACCAGGGATTATTCTTAAACTGCTTTCCTTTTCTATTTCTTAGGGTTTTTATCATATCCATTTCGCCTGCAGATTCTTTTATTAAATCTATCATAATTTCGAAATTTACCTCTTCATTCTTTAGTTTGCGACTTTCAATTTTATCCTTTATCTTCATTGAATAATTTATTCGTTTGCTTGCATCCCAAATGTATTTATTAGTCAAAATCGTATTGACATCCGAACTTTCGTCACCAATAACGTCTTTTTCACTTTCTATTTCAATTCTTTCAATAGTTAAACTTTGAGCTAAATGATCGGAAGTGTCCAAATTGAGAAACTCGAAGTCACTGATATAATCTAAGCCGTTCAAATCTGACCACGTATAATCTATAACACTTTTCCCCATTTTGTTTATGAAAGTGAATTCACCTCCTGAATCACTCTGGGTTCTTCCATTAACACAACATAAACCTATATCACTCATTAAGTCGTACAGCACTTCTCCATTTCTACAGATAGTTTTGTCTCGTGAATTTCTCATATAGTTTATATTTACGTTTTCGCACATATTTTCATCCATATTATTGAGATTCCCTATTCTGCAGTTAAAATCCCCTGATATCAAAATTGCCGCATTGTATTTTTCCCGCATTTCCCACACGAAATCTCTAAATAATGTTAACCTATCCTTTATTAAGTCCGGACGTATATAAACACATATAACTATCCACTCTTTATTGTCTATCCATCCTTTGATTGCTGTCCATCCTGTACTTATATCCAAAATTTCTATATTGCGTACTACGTTTTCGTCAATTAGCATACCAATACCTCCACTCGCTCTTCCTTTATCATATTGTTTTGTTGCCGCATTTCCTATATATTTATAATCTTTGAAATCATGTTTTAATAACAGTTCGTCTTTAGTTAACCACGTTTCTATTACACATATAAGAAAGTAGTCACTCACTAATTTACTTTTTTCACTACAGCTTAACTCAAACAGATTTTTTATTCCATGTACGTTCCACACTAATATTTTACTTTTTGACACTTTCAACAGTTTTCTCTTACTTGCTTCTCCGGTGGCGTTGTGAATTTTCTTCTCTTGGTTCCGTAAAGATTCCGTTGTCAGAATTATTCCTCCCTCGTCCATTATCCCTTGTCCAATCGTGATTTTCTTTATTTCCGTAGGCTCTTGTTCCTGATTGAGTGTAAATTCCGTTGACGTCTGTATGGTTGTCACTTTCGTGTCGAAAGGATCTCGTTTGTTTCACTATACCCTGCTCGTTTTTCCATACCCACAATTGATTGTTTATGTAGATTTTCTTGTATCCAATTTTAGCCGTGTTTCCTCGACTTCTTTCTTCCCTTGCTCTACTGTATATTTTTCTTTGTATTTCTCTATCCTCTTTGGTCAAGTCATCATCTAAATAGATTTGGGTACCTTTAAGTGTCGCCTTTTTTTCTATAATACTTTTCTTATCCTCTGCACTTTTTACCCTAATTTTGAGGAAGTCTTCTCCATTTGCCGGTTTAATTTTGACTGCTGATTCCAAGTCGATTTTAAGATTCAGATTCGCTTCTATGAAATCTTCCACTTCTGTTCTTATATCGTTATCGTTCTTTTCTGTCTTCAGACCTCTAATGATTATATTCTTCCTTCTATTTTCTTGATCTCTTCTACGGTCAATTTCTTCTAGCTTATTAATTTTATCCAATAGTTCCTTTTTTTCTGTGTCCCATTCGCTGAACTTTAATTCTACTAACTTATATTGCTCGAAAACCTTTTGTTCGATAGCTTTTTGGGATTTCATGATTTTTTCCTCCGTCCTTGATATAAGTTCTTCCATTTTGCTTTCCACTTTGCTTTCTATTTCTTTAAGAGAAGCATTAAAATCACTTCTGATACCTTCTAATATTTCATCTTTCATTGCATGAAACATATTTTCCCATTCGCCTTCTACTTTTTCTTTCACTTCCGTATCTGTCCCTTGTTTACTTGTTGTAGTTTCCATAGTCTTAAAAACTTCATGAATCAGTTTGTTATTTTTATCTTTATCGAGTTGGTTTCTGCTGGTAGGTCTTCCTGGTTTATTATTTGGGATATTTTTTCCATTTCCTTCCTTTTTTTCAATCTTACCTGTTGCTTTATTACCATTTTCCTTTTGACTTAATACATTTTTTGCGGATCTATTTTTCCGATCGACGGCCGACATTTTGGATGAATGAATGGGTCCGCTGTGGCGCACCCTATTGCGTTTCACTTTCTAACCTCACTTTTATAAAACTCACATTTACTTACAAAAAATGCAATCAAATGTATATTCAACTCAAAAATTTTATGTTCAACACAAACTGCAACTCAAACTTCACTAGAAAAAATAAATCTCTCAACTGTTATCCACTTTTCACCAATAAAAGATTAACATATTCTCAGAGTAACTTCGACACGCGTACCTTGAATTCCTAAATCGAAACAAGGAAGTTAAAAAGTTTCTAAATGTAGAATTTAAGTTTTTAATTTTTATTGCAATCAGTATTTTATGAAAATAATTTTAATAAATATTTCGTTCATTTGGACGTTCAATTAATATTTTATATTATCTAAAGTTTAATAGATTTTAATTTTAATCATTTACAAAGTCAATTTTAGCTAGAATTATTGAAAATAGATTTCAATTATGTAGATAAAAATTTATTTAGTTTCTGCATTAATTTTTTATTGAACATTTCTAATTATTTACAGATTCCGTGTGGAGCAAATTTCGAAAAAGATTTCATCATTAAGAAGATTTTACAGTACATTGCACCTGAAACTTTTGTGCCAATTATGGTAATTTATTTTTTAAAAATTAAAAAAAATTTGTATTATTTTATTACTTTTTTTTTATTTTGAACTAATGCTTTTTCTTTATTAATTAATTTATTACTATTTCTAGTATCAACATTTTGAAAGATCGGCAATATTTTATGTGGACAATTACAGAATAGCTAAAACATTATTAGACTGTGATTATAAGATCTATTTAAACGAAACATTCAAATTACATATTTATGTAAAGCCAGGACATCCTAATGTAATGAAAAAATCAAATGATGTTTCAAATGTACTGAAGGAAAAAATTGTTCAAATTGTCGCAATGCGTTATAATCAAGAGACGAATTCGTTAAATCTTTCAGAATTTTATCATGATCCAGGTAAAAATATTTTTTGTGTTTCTTTTTTATTTATATTTCTCTCTCTCTTTCTCTCACTAAACTCTAAGTCTAAATAATTATGTTATTTTTCTATTCTTTGTTACAGCACTTGTGGATAATCATTTTTGTGCCTTATTTCAACCGATTTTGTTGACGACAGTTTTGGACACTGCAGTGCAATTGGTTCCAAATATTCAAGTATTGAATCTCAGTGGCAATAAACTGACTTTCATTAGTACACTCTCGACGTTGAAAGCGAGATTTAAGAATCTTAAAATTCTTCTGCTTGGTGATAATTTATTGAAGGATATCAATTTATTGGATCCGATAAGATTTTTAAATTTAGAAGAATTGTCACTATTGGGAAATCCTTTTTGCAACGATTACTCGATGCGTAAAAATGAATACGTAAGGTAATGTCTATTTTTTATTCACAGTTAGAAATTATATTTATTATTTATAATTTAGTCTTTACCAAAAATTAATTTCATAAATTTATAAAATGTGGATTTTATTTTGATTTATTATTTGTTATCGATGACTCTTTTTGATAGGGAGTAGTTTATTTTTTATGGAAATTCTGGAAAAATAACGAAAATGGAAATATTATTCTGGTATTATTGGAAAAATATACCATTTTCGCCAAGACAAAGAGAAAGAATGATATTATTTAAATAAATAATAGTTTATTTTGTTCAGAGATGGATTTTCGACAAATTATTTTGTATTTAGTTTTTATACATGAAATTTTTTTATTCTTCTTTCCCATTATTTATTTTTATTTGTTTATTTATATATTTGTCTATCTTCTTTTCTCTTTAGTTTATATATACACTTTTTGTTTTCGAACAAATGGTTCTTTTTAAACATTTATAAATATTACCCAATAAATAAATATTTCTTTCGCTACTCTTTAATGAGGTTCTCCGGCTTCTACTCTTGAAAAAATCAATTTTCGTTAAATTTTCTTTAAATTTTGAGGAAATGTTTCTTTGTGTCCACTTTAAATTTGGTAAAAATTTCAGAAGGGTTTTGAAATTTTTACCACATTTAAAGCGCACTCGAAGAAACATTTTCTCAAAATTTAAAGAAAATTTAAGGAAAATCGATTTTTTCAAAAGTAGCAGCCGGAGAACCTCCTTAAAAATTGAATTGAGAATCTTTTTCTGAACACGATAATCTATTATTTATTTAAATTGTATCATTTTTTATATGATGAGAAGTGTTTTCTTTACCGAAACAAGGAGGAGACATTGACTCGAAATATTTTTCGTTTATCTTTCATTATATTTTTGAAAGATTAGTTATTTTCTATCAAAACGGAGGGAAATGGTGGGAAACAATAAATAAAAGTAAATTTATTATTTTTTGAAAAATATTCCCAATTTACAGGATTAGGAATGTGGGGAAAATATTTTAAAACGAAAATAAAAAACGTAAAAAAACGAAATTTAAAGTAAACAATTTTAAATAATACCAAGTTTCCTCACTAGGGAGAAAACATTAAATAAAAAAACTTTTATAAATCTTTGAGAATGTTATATATATATATATATTAATTTATAAATGAATGAACAATTATTAATTTTTCAATTAGTATTATTTATAAATGTATTAATCACTTTTTTTCTCGATTTTCCCAAAAAAAACTTCCTATTGCCGGATTTTTTTCTGGATACTAGTGATGTACGTCAAATATTTCCAAAACTTTTACGTTTGGTGAGTAAATTAAAAATAAAATGTTTTTCTATTCGTATTTTAATTTACATTGAAAATATAAAAATTTGTTTCTATATAACAGGATGGTATCGAGTTACCGCCTCCAATTTCATTCGATGTGGTTGAAGAAGATCTAAAAATTCCGCCTTCAAAGAAATTATTTTCTGTCAGTTCGGAAGGAAACATAATTGCAAGACAATTCATTCAACAGTACTTTTCAGTGTTTGACAACAATAATCGAGAAACTTTAATGCAGGCTTATCATGATAGTGCAGTTTTTAGTATGACTGTGTCGCCCAATGTTGGAGCAAGGTAACGAATTAAAAAAATTCAAGTGTAATTTATTAATTATATTTTTATAATTTTTTGTGATTAGTAATTTAATTTTTTATAATAGATATTTTGTTCTTTTTAATAACTTTTTTTACATTTACTGTCATTTTTTTAGACCAAACAGTTACCTCGGTGAAAGTAGAAATTTACTTCGAATAAGAGATCAAAATTCTGTGAGGAGACTGCTAAAGCGTGGAAAGCTGGCAGTCGTAACAACAATTTCTGAATTTCCACGAACAAGACACGATACGGATTCTTTTACGATGGATGTGTCCTTCTGTTCGGTTAGTAAATTTAAATAGTAAACCAAATTTTTTTAAGCTTTCGATTAGAAATTTATTTATTTTCAATTTTAGAGAATATTAACTTTATTTTATATTCATTACATTTATTATTATTATTATTTTTATTTACTTATTATTTTTGTATAACTATTTTATTTATATTTAAATTTAAAATCTACAAATTCTATTTTCGATTTAAATTGAATTTTTTATTATTAATAAATAGAAATAAAACCATTATTTTTAAAGACAAGAAATATATTTGCCATTAAATCATTTTCTAATGAGAATGGAATTTTTTCAGAAATCAATGATGATGGTTACAGTCTCAGGACTTTTTAAAGAATCCAACGATTTCGATGCACCGTTTCGTTATTTCAATCGAACATTAATAATTGTTCCCGAAGGTTCTGGATTCGTTATTCTCAACGAACAATTGTGCATTTCAAATGCCACTCAATTGCAACAAAAACTTGCAATGAATCAAACGAGATCAGTTGAAATGGCAATGACACATCCAGAACCAATAATAAATTGTCAAAATGAAATTGGAATGTTATCCGAAGATATCAAGAGAAAAATGATCAAAGATTTGTGTCTTGAATCAAATATGAAAAATGAATGGAGTTGTAAATGTTTAACTGAAGTCGACTGGAAATATGAGGAAGCAATGTCAGCCTTCCGACGATGTTTCGCGCAAGGTCTGATTCCGGCCGATGCATTCGAAAGAACATCCTAAAATGAATGAGAAAAAAAATTAGTAATAATTAAGCCATAGTAATATTTACTTAAAGAAACAAAAACAAAGAGGAAAAACTTCCAAAGAGATTTTAGAAATTAGTTAAAGAGAAAAAGTATTTGTTTATTTCGTTTTTTATAAACATTTGATTGTTTAATTCATTATAAGAGCTGTGTTAAAAGAAACAAAGTTTATTTTATATATTTTAAAAATGTTGGATACATTATTCAGTATTGTTTAAGAAGAAGAAGAAGAAGAAAAAAGTTTATTAAACTGTTTAATTTTCTCTCTCTCTCTCTCTCTCTCTTGTAAATAATGAGATTAAGAATTTAAAAAGAAATGTTGACTGACAAAAATATTAAGTTAGAACAAAATATTATTATTTTTTTAAAGACACGTGTACACATAAGAATAGAATGTCGAATTTCGACAGAATCAAAGTATTAGAAACATTTGTGTCATGCGAGAATTTTTTAATTCTGTTAGATTTTCAAAGATCTACAAAAAAAAAAATTATTTGAATAAGTTAGATTTAGGAAAAGAAATTTTGTTTTTCATTTCTTGCGATTCACAAATTTAAAGTGCTCTCATGTCTTTGTGGACAAAATAAATCATTTTTATAATCATCGTAATGTGACTTTACAAAATCGTTTAGTTTTTAAATTATTACATTTCGTCAATTTCCATCTTGTGGATTTCTAAGTTTTAAAAAATGGTACTTAATAAATAGTTTCTTAATAAAAAAAAGTACAATTTTTTAAATTCCCTCTATATGGTTTTTTATAGTGTAGTATTTATTTCTTGATTGTATATATTATTTTATTATTAAAAATAATTGAATTAGAAAATAATTTCGGTTAAAATCTGTAAAAAGAAATATTGAATTTAGATAAATTTAAAAATTAAAACCATTAAAAATGTGAATACTTGTAATTAATAATTCTTTTGAACTAATTTTTTCGAAAAATTTTAATTTCAATTCTGTTGAAATTAGTTGAATCTTTTAATGCATATTTGATATTACTTCAAAAATTTTAACGCAAGTCTTCAAAATTATTCCCAAAAATTCAATTCTTTTCAGGACTTTTAATAAAATTCTTTGCAAAATTCAATGATTTTCATTTATTAATTATTTTCAAAAGTAATAAAATTCTTCGCAAAAATTCAATTATATGTTAAAATTTTTAAAAATTTTCGTCAAGATTTCAATTATCTTTATACATAGCAAAAATTTTCTCCAATATTTAATAATTTTCAAAAATTCTTTTTTTTTTTAAATTCTTATCAAAATTTCAATTATTTTCAAACATTTTTCTCAATTCAATGATTTTTAATATCTACTATATTTTAATCAAATTTTCATAAAATTCTACACAAACATTCAATTATTTTTATAAATTAATGAAAATTTCACGGAAATTCAATTATTTAAAATTGAATTTGAATATAAATTTTTTCGAAAAAAATCATTTTTTTTATAAAGTTCTTCGCAATAATTCAATTATTTTCATAAATATTAAGATTTTTTTTCAGAGATTCAATTATTTTCACAAGTAATAAAATTTCTTTTTAGTAATTCAATTATTTTCATAAATAATAAAATTTTTTTTCAGAGATTCAATTATTTTCACAAGTAATAAAATTTCTTTTTAGTAATTCAATTATTTTTATATAAATAATAAAATTCTTTTTAGGATTTCAATTATTTTCATAAATATAATAAAACTCATCGCAGAATTTCAATTATTTTTTATATATAAATAATAAAATTCTTTTTAGGATTTCAATTATTTTCATAAATATAATAAAACTCATCGCAGAATTTCAATGATTTTTTATTTAATTTTAATTTAATTGCTCGAAAAAAACAATTATTCTTAAAAATTTTATTAAAATTCGTCGAAAGAATTCAATTTTAAGAAACATTCCATTATTCAATAAATCATTTATTTTTTTATTTATAAATAATTGAATTTTCGTAGAATTTTTTAATAAAAATTGATTTAAAAATGAATTTGTTCAAAACTTATTAAAAATAATTGATTTAAAGAAGAATTTTTGAATAATTTTACAATTAAAGAAATTCGCAAATAAATATATTAGAACATTCTTTTTTGTATCTAATCAATTTTAGAGTGAATATTACATTAATAATTATTATTTATTTACTTATTTACAAAATGTATTTTTAAAAATTTCAAATTTCGCGCCAAAACAAACAATTTTGTACCCTTTCCTGTTTTGTTTTTAAACCAAACCCAGAAATTGTTATTATATTTTTCATAAATAGTGACAGTTTAAATATGAACAATTTAAAAGTTAAATATTAATTATTTCATTTCTATGAATTAATATTAAAAAAATTGTTTCGCAAGTGAAGGGAATTCAAAAGTTGCGCGCTACTAACAAAGTCATGTGCACGACTGTCGTCCGTTGAGAATGAACTTTATGCTTGTATGTATATTTCCGGTCAGTTTCGCGTGAAGTGGCGTGAAGTACGGCGTCGCAGCGCCGAGGTGCATTAGTTTTGGAGTGTGTACATATAAATGGCGGCTGACGCAAAATGGTATTTTACAAAAGAACAACTAGCAAATTCACCGAGCCGAAGATGCGGTATCGACGCCGATAAAGAACTGAGTAATAGGCAGCAGGCCGCAAATTTCATCCAGGATATGGGACAACGATTATCTGTGTATCCTTTTAACGCTTGATTCTCAATCTCAACACCTACCCCCTTCCCCGCTCGTGCTCGCTGCTAAAGAAACATTCGTACGTCAATTATCGTCGTGTTTTTCCACAGGTATGTTTTCGAATTATGATTAAATCCATGTCCGTGATATGTTTAATGATTTAATTTCGTTTATTAATGTGTCAAGTGGCTGTAAACATGAGAATTGAATTCTGTGAGGTCACGCGTCATGGAACTCCATATTGGAGAAACGTGGGCTGACTACATTGGATTTTCGAAATTTTTAACATTTCCTTTTGTTTTTACAAATTATTTTTCAATATTAATTATTATTTTATGTTTATTCACGTTAATAAACTTGTTTTGTAGGACAAGATTGACGATTGTAACGACAGTCCTACCAACTGAGTTTGCTTACGCAATTTTTGTTCATCAATCATTAATTTTCTGATTCATAATGCAGTTTTTTTTCTTGTTGATTTGCAAGCATTTCTAGGACGCGTCTTTATCGTATTTCGCAAATCAGTGCAAAATTCTTAATTAAGAAATGTTAAATATTCACGTTTAGAGTTGTTCGGAAGTGAATTTTTGATTGATTGCTTTTATTTCGTTTTTTATAGGTTTGGGTGTGTTAGTTACGACAGTTTTTGTTTGTTCTCTCTCTATTTGTCTCTCTTTGGAAATTCCAATTGTCTTTAAAAACAAATTTTCTTTTCTGACGTTAGTGAAATATTTAAATTGTCTCTGCTTGTAAACAAAAGTTTATCATGTGATTATTTTATGCACTTTGTTTGTTTGTATGTGTCAGTTTAGCCTTGATTTTACAGTCTTGAAGAACCGTTATTCGCTTTTGGGCGATTTGACCCTCTTTTTTTTAGAATACTTTTGCTTTAAAAATTTGTTCACGTATTTTTAACCAGTAGCGTATTTATTTTGTTTTTATAAACATTTTGTTCAAAATAAAAAAAATTGTTAATATTCGTTCAATTGTGTGTTCAGAGGTTATATATTGAGAGACTGAGAAACTCTGAATATTATACGTACTATTTTTAGTTTTTTTTTTGTCGTCTTGTTCGTACTTATATTGCTTATTAAATTTTGAAATTTTGTGTTAATTGTCAATGTCTTTATTATTTAGTGCAAAATCCTTAATATTAATTAACAATATAGAATAGATTTTATTTTTCCTTATGAATTAAATTAAATATAAATTCTACTTTTGTAAATTTGTCAAATATTTCTTAAGGTCAGTAAATTTTTATTTTTCCGAGTTTCAAAATCTCTTAAACTTCTTTAGCATTTCTATTATTGAAACAGAAAAAGAATTGAAAATTTTTTCGAAATTTTCTTCTTCTACTTGAAACAAAAAAAGAAAAAAATATTTTTACACAGGTTTTCAGAAAAAGCTTCTAGACATTCATCGTTTGCAGTATGAAGTTTTTATCAGTTCCTAACAATCTGTCCATTTTCAGAGTCCAGTTTATTTCCATTTATGTATTTTCAAGATTGTTTGATCTTTTGTATGAAAAAAAAGAAGGAAATTTTTTGTACGACGCTGGGGAACTTTTCTATTTGTATATTTTTATAACACACAAAAAAAAGAGGATTTTCCAAAAAAAAGGATTTTAAAAAAAGAAGTTTATCATCAGAATTAATTGTAATTTGAAAAGAAAAGAAAAAATAAAAAAATATTATTTATACAAAATTGTTCTTTCTGTTTTCTAGTCATAACCATGCAAAAGTAGTCATGTGTTTAAAAATTAAAGTCAAGAATTGAGAAAATATTCTACATTATTCTCATTAAAATTGAAAACTTTAATCTTGCTTTTTTTATATAAAAAAAAGACAATAATATTGCTAATTAAGTGTTAAAAATGATTGTCTTTACTTCTGCAATTATCTTTTGAGAACACAGAAATGAATCATGTTTCTATAATTAAATTGCGACACTTTTTTTATGAATGTAATTTTAATAATTATTATTTGAGATTATAAAATTATTCATTTTGAGTTAATTTATAATTTGTGAAATTTAGCAACAAGTGTCATTCGAAAAATGTTATTTTATGATTTTTAAGACAAGTTTTTTCATAAATTTTTTATTTTTACAAATTTTGCTCTTTTTAATTTATTTTCTACATTTTTACGTAAAGAATATTTAACAAAGAAATTCGTTACTTAAAATTAAAGTCAAAAATATTACAATCCAAAATGTAGTGAAATTTTTTACTTTATTCGTCTTCTATTTATTATGAAAAATTCGAATTTTATCAATTTAAAATAAAGCCTTTTGTTTTTTCGTTAATTATAAAAGTAATTACTTGCAAAAATTTGGTTTCTTTTTTTTATTAATTAATTAGGGTGGCCACATGTCAGTAAAGTCAGTAAAACAAAATTTTTGTCAGTGAACTCAGGGAAATTTAGAAAATTGAGATTTTTTCAACTTTTCTCCCAAATATTGCAACAAAATATCATAATTGTTAGTATTAAATGTAACTCATTTCGATTTTTATAGTGCGAAAAATAACTAAACAAATCTTTCAAAAATGATTTTTGAATCATTTTGCTATTAAATTTTTGAAATATACAATTTAAAAGATTTTGAATAATTGAAATTTTGTAAAATTTAATTGAAAATAATTAATTTTTTAAAAATATTTTGTTACAATAAATTTTTAAAAATAAACTTTTGAAGAATTTTAATAGCAAATTTTCAAAATAATTGAATTATCAAAAATTTTAATGAGAAACATTTCTAAACGTAAATTTAAAAATGAAATTTAATGAAAATAGCTTTTAATTTTTTAAAGTTGATTATTTTCAGTACTTTCAATTACATATTTCCGAAAATTCAAATACATTCCGAAAATAATAACATTTCAGAATTATTTTTACCATTTTGGAGAAAAAATTCTTGTTAAAAATATTTCATTAAAATTCATCAAAAAATTAATTAGTTTTTCTAAATAATACAAAAACTCTTTTAAGAAATTCAATTGTTTTCGAAAAATTACATTAAAATATTTTTAAAAACTACTTTATTCTTAGACTTGTATTAGAATTAGATTAAATTTCAACAATTTTACTCATTTTCCGTAAACTTTCATATTTTCCTGTAAAAAGAATTTTGTCAGGGAAAATAATTTTAATGTCAGTAAATTGTCAGGGAAATTGATAAACTGAAATTTGTGACCACCCTGTTAATATTTTCAAATTGATTTACAACTATTTGTTTTAGAACAAATTAAAATAGAAAATTATTTAATAATAAGAATTATTCGATAAGAAAAATAGAAAATTATTTATTGAATACAATTTGAGAATTTTCTCAGTTTTGCTTTTGAATTTTTTCAGGTACAAATTCCTAAAGACCTTTTCTTACCTCCCAAAAAAAATGGAAATTTAGAATTTTTCAGAAGAAAAAAAAAAAGAAATTTTCCTTAACTTTTCGAATTTAGTACTCAACTATGCATCAATACAGCCATCGTGTACATGCATCGATTTTTTGTGTTCCACTCATTAACACAGTTTCCACGGAACAAGATTGCAGCAGCGGCCCTCTTCTTAGCGGCAAAGACAGAGGAGCAACCGCGGAAACTGGAGCATGTCATCAAATGTGCGCATTTGTGTCTCCACAGAGATCAGGCGTCACTTGACATGAAATCGGATGTGAGTGCGATGTTTTTCAAAAGCAAAAAAAAAAAAAAAAAAAAAATTGCGGCAAAATGACAAAAATAAAAAACGAAATTCATTAGCTGCTTAATAGCTAGCTTATGTCTTATTGCAGCAATATTTGGAGCAGGCTAATGAGTTGGTGTCCAATGAAAGTGCCCTCCTAATGACTCTGGGTTTCGAACTTGCCATTGACCACCCTCACACACACGTTGTTAGATGTTGTCACCTAGTAAAAGGTAATCATCAATTTTTTTTCTTACTTTTATAGAAAGAGAAATGTTTTACAAATTCAGGCCTCGGACTCACGAGACTATTGATATTTTTTATACTTTTGATAATTCAGAATTGCCACAGATTAGGGAAAAGATAGGAAAAGTAGAATTGCTCAGGGAAAAGTCAGGGATTTTTATTAAAAGTTAAAAGTACTAGAAAAAATTGAATTTTTAGAATTCATAAGAAAATTCTGAATTTTTATGTCTTTTTTGTTTGCCTTATAAACTATAAAATTACCACGAATTCTAATATTCAAAACCTTCAATTTTTTATATTTCTGGCAATGATTTCTTTTTAAATAACCTAATTCTAGAAGAACTATCATAAAATTATTACTTAGAAATTATTTAATGAATAATTTTACTTAAAAATTTCAAAATTAATTGAATTTTGAAAGAGTTGCGTTTACAATAATTATTATCATAAGGTTTCAATTTGTATTTTTATAAAATTTCAATTTTGAATGAATTCAATTAGAAATTTTAAAGAACTTAGATTTTTGAGAAATTTCAATAATTCAAATTCTTCTCAAATTAGTTACATTTTTTAATATCTACTTAATTAACTAATAAAAATAATGAATTTATAGAAGAATTTTAATTAAAAATACTAAATAAATTGAATTTTAAAGAAATTACAAATGATTGCAGAAATTCAATTATTATGTTCAAAAATTTTTCTCAATTCAATGATTTTCAATCAAAAAATAGTTTTCCAAAAGAATACAATTTATTATTTTAAAAAAATGTAATAAAATTGTACGCAAACATTTAATTGTTTTGTTGATAAAATTCTTTATGAGAATTCAATTTTGAGAAACATTCAATTATTCGATAAATTATTTATTTTTGTACATAAATAATTAAATTCTCGTAAAATTTTCTAATAAAAATTGATTTAAAAATTAATTGTAGTTAAAATTTTGTATAATAATTTATCATTAAAAGCATTATAGTATGAATTACGCGCGAAACATGATTTTCTATTTATTATTATGCAATTTACAGAATTTGTTTATTTTGAAATATTAATTTTTGAAAAAATTTTTGCAAAACTTCAATTATTTTCTAAAATTTTAATAAATCCTTCGAAACCATTCAATTATTTTTTTTAAATAGTAAAATTTTTGCGAAAATTCACTTATTTTCTCAAATTTTAATAAATCCCTCGAAACAATTCATTTATTTTTTTTCAAATAGTAAAATCTTTGCAGAAATTCAATTAATTTCAATAAAATGTCACTAAAGAATTCAATTTTTTTCTAAAATTTTAATAAACTCTTTGAAACAATTCAATTATTTTTATAAATAGTAAAATTCTTCAAAAAATTCAATTGTTTTCTGAAATTTGAATAAATCCTTCGGAACAATTCAATTGTTGGATCCCCAATTATTTTTATAAGTAGTAAAATTTATCGTAAGAATTAAATTATTGTTTATAAATAATAAAATTCTCAGAAATTCAATTATTTTGAATACAATTTTAATAAACATCAATAATCAAATATTTAATTATGATTATTAACAGACACGATTATTTTAAAAAATTGAACAAAATTCTTTGTTTAATTCAATTATTTTCAAAATTTTCAATAAAACTAATTTTCAATAAAAATTTTAAAAAAAAAACTATATTATTTCTCAAAGAAACTTAAAGAAATTTTTCAAAAGAATTTAATTTATTAGAAAAACTCTAATAAAATTGTTTAAAAGAGTTTAATTTTCTATGAATAATTTTATTAAAATTTTAATAGTAAAATAATTAATTACAATTATTAGCAAAATCGATTATATTCAATAAATTAAAGAAATTTTTTGAAAGAATTCAATTATTATCAAAGAAACTCCATTATATTTCAAAAAAATTAAAAGAAATTCTTCAAAAGAATTTAATTAGAATTTTTTAAAATTTTAATAAAATTCTTCACTAGAATTGAATTATTTTCATAAATAATAACATTCTGCGAAGGAATTTAATTTATTATTCTCAAATTTTTTGACAAAATTCTTTGCAAGAATTCAATGATTTTTAATACCTACATTAATTTTAAAAATTAAAATATTTGAAAAGAAAAATTATTAAAAAAGTTAGGAAATAAAAAAGCAAACAACAACAAACTGCGAACAGATTATCGGAATACAACAATTATTAATGTAGAAAGATTTTTTGGAAATAATTGAATTTTGAAAAGATTTCAAAATTAATGTTTTTCAGTGTTTAGAAAAACATTTATTAAATTATATTGAAATATTTATTTTGTTCTTTGTAAGTTTTTATAAAATTTAAATAAAATTAAAGTAAATGCAAAATCTCCTTTAAAAATTTAGTCCATTTTTCTGAATCTGATTAAAAAATAATAAATATTCAATTTTTCATATTTAAATTCAGTCCGAGGCCTGCAATTTCAGGGTTGCCACAGATGAGGGAAATCAGGGAATTTTATCAAAAATATTTAAATAATTAATTATTTGTATTTTTTTTAATCATTTATCCCATTTATTTTTGTGAAAATTTTGAATAATAAAAAAAACTTGTAAAATCCTCTGGCAAAGATTGTTTCAAATATTATGGAAATTTTTATACGAGAAAAGTATAATCATTTCTAAATTGTGTTTAGAAAAAAATTTGCAGAATTTAATCAAATTATTTAATTAAATAAAAAGTTGAATTTTATTTTATTGTTGTTATTTAGCATTCACTGTATATTTATAACGCTGTTTATTCAAACACAAAACATACTCATACTATCTGCAAGTATTACGATCAATTTTTTATGACACTTGATTCTATTTTTCATTTTTAAATTCAGTCCGTGGCCTGCAATTTCAGAGTTGTCACAGGTCAGGGAAATCAGGAAATTTTATCAAAAATACTTAAAAAATATCAAACTTCTTGAATTAGGTACTAAAGCTAAAATGAATTTAAAAATAATACCTTGAGTTTTTCTTATTTCTGCAAATAGTTCCAGAAATGTAAATTTTTGGAAAGAATTTAATTATTTAAAAAATTTTTGATAACATTCTTCGTGGAAATTCAATTATTTTCAATGCAATTGTAATTAAAATTGTTCAAAGTAATTTAATTATTTTCAAAAATTCTTCGGAATAATTCAATTCTTTTCAAGAAATTTAATAAAATTCTATGTAAAAATTAAATTATTTCAGATTTAAAAAATACAAAAATTACAATTTCTTTTCAACAAAAATATTATCTTTTGCATTAATAAAAATTAGTTTCTTTACAATACTGTATAAGTAACTTTTTTATATTGTAGAATTAAATTAGAAATTGTTAGAATTAAATTTACAATTAAAATTATGATTTTTAATAAAATTATTATTTAATTAATTTTTAAATTCTAAACATTTAAAAAGAAAAATTAGAAAAAAAATATCAAAAATAAATAACTAACTTTAAAGTTCAAACAGACATACGAAGTACAACAATTATTAATGTTATAGATAGATAGAACCCTTAAAGTTTTAAATTAATTTTTTGCTTCTGTATAATTGAATAATTTTTACATTTTTATGGAGATCCAGATAAGAGTCAAAATTCTGTCTGAAAATCAGGAAAAAAACAAAATCAAATTTTTGTGGCAACCCTGAATTTAATTAAATTTAAAAACGTTAATTTCATTTTTAAATTCAACAAAAAATGACTAATTAAAATTTTATTTATTTTCAGCGAACAAGGACTTAGCCCAGACTTCATACTTCATGGCATCTAACAGGTGGCTACAAATTATTTCCTAGTATCTCTTACTCTTAGAAGTCTTCCGATCAGATAAATGCCGTTGAGAAAAAAAAACTTTATGCCAAGCTAAAGCATTCTTCCCATTTTTTAAGAGAAAAATTCACTCTTTTTCTTTCTATCATTTTTTTTTCAACAAAAAATGCAATTGAATTATGAGAATGCAAATTAAATTTTGAAAATTGAAATATACATGTTGTTTACAATGTAAAATTTTGATGGAAGAATGTGTTTTTCACTTGGTAACGGTAATGTCTGATTGTTAAGAGAACGTAACCAAAGCAATAAGCAGTTTAATTCGGGAAAAATGTTATTAATGCCAACGCGATACGAAGTTTATTTCACAATAAGGACCTTCAGGTAAATAGAATTTTCTAAAAGGCTGATCGTTTTTTTTTCTATACGTTATAATATTAAAAAGAAAAAAAATCTGTTTGTTTAGTTTCGCCTTCAGTTTCACATGCCGGATGCTATTTTAGCACCACGAGAAAGAGAGAGAAAGAGTGAATGTATACGAATGTGCTTCTTTTTTTCATTTCTATCGTATTTTCCTTTTATTTTTTCGTGTCACATCATTCGATGATTAAAATTCACTTTTTTAAAAAAGCGGAATTGCATCCGTCGAGTTTTAATCTAATTTTTTGTTTTAAGTATGTTAGATTTTTTCCAATATATACTTTTATTTTTAAAAAACAAAAAATGCTTTGAGTTCTATTCGGCATGAGGATTCTGCAAAATCATGGCGAATCATTTAGAACCAAAACGTTCTCTGAAATTCTGTAAACCCACGTATTCTTAATGATAATTTTTTTTTCTATTTTATTCATCACTGTTAGTTTTGTTTGAAGATTTTTCGAAGGAGAATTTTCTATGTTACAGTTTACACCTGACAACAATGTGTTTGCAGTATAAACCCACAGTTGTTGCTTGTTTCTGCATTCATTTGGCTTGTAAATGGTCCAATTGGGAGGTAAGATTTAAAAAATTGAATATAACATTGAAAAAACGAATTTAAATTTCTTTTATGGTTTTCTTTTTTTTCAAAGATACCACAAAGCAACGAAGGAAAACACTGGTTCTGGTATATCGACAAAACGGTTACTTCGGAACTCTTGCAAAAATTAACCGCCGAATTTCTTCACATTTTTGATAAATGTCCCTCGAGGCTGAAAAGAAAAATCAAGAGTATCAATGATAACCAAAGTCCGAATATGAGTCACCAGATTACAAATTCTCCTTTTGTAAGTTTTAAACTCTTTTTTATTAATTTTTAAATATATTTATATTATAGAAGGGGAAATGAAAAAGTCAAAATTCTTTCTGGAAATCAGGGAAAAACAAAATCTAATTTTTGTGGCAACTCTGATTAAAAATAATTGAATTTTTTAAGATTTTATTTTATTGACATTTTTGAAAATAGTCGAGAGAAACTAGCCACAGTAACTAATTTTATTTTTAAAAATAGACAAACATCTTTGAATTTTTTTATGGGGATCATTGGAAAAAGCCAAAATTTTTTTATAAAAATAAAATTTGAATTGGAATATATAGTTTTAATATAAGTACTGAAAAAAATTAAACTTTTAGAATTCATAAGAAAATTCTGAATTTTTGTGTCTTTTGTTTGACTCATAAACTATAAAATTACCACGAATTCTAATACAAAACTTTCAAATGTTTTCAATTTCTGACAAAAATTTCTTTTTAAATAACTTAAATCTAGAATAACTATCATAAAATAAATAAATTATTTAAATTAATGAATAATAATTTTACCAAAATATTTCAAAATTAATTCAATTTAAAAGAGTTGCGTTTACAATTTTCATAAATAAATGAACTTCAAACGGATTCAATTTGAAATTTTATAAAATTTCAATGTTGAATAAATTTAATTAGAAATTTTAATGAACTTAGATTTTTGAAAAATTTCAATAATTTAAATTCCTTTCAAATTAGTTACATTTTTTAATATATATTTAATTAACTATTAAAAATTATGGATTTATAGAAGAATTTTAGTGAAAAACACTAAAAAAATTGAATTTTGAAGAAGTTACAAATTATTGCAGAAATTCAATTATTTTTAAAAGTAATAAAATTCTTATTACAAAATTTACAAAAAAATCTTGACAAAATCCCAATTATTATCTTTATAAATAAAAAAATTCTTCTTTAAAATTCAATTATTTTCAAAAAATTTAATGAAATTCTTGCCATAATTTCAATTATTTTCAAAAATTTTCCTCATTTCAATGATTTTTAATATCTACTATTTTAATAAAATTACTCAATAGAATTCAATTATTTAAAAACAAATACATATTTACAAATTTTTCATAAGTTTCTTCTCAATAATTCAATTATTTTCAGAAATAATAAAACTCATCGCAGAATTTCAATTATTTTTAATACAATTTTAATCAAATTCATTGAAAAATGTAACTATTCTAAAAAATTTTATTAAAATTTTTCAAAAGAATTCAATTATTTAAAAATTTGTTAATAAAATTCTTTAAAAGAATTCAATTTTCAGAAACATTCAATTATTCAATAAATAATTTACTTTTGTATTTAAATAATTGAATTCTCGTAGAATTTTCTAATAAAAATTGATTTGAAAATTAATTTTAGTTTAAATTTGAGATAATAATAGAATATGAAAATAATTTTTAAGAAGTTATCTAGAGAAACAATATTCTTATAATATAAAATAATGATTTTAACACTTGATCTTCTTTAATTATTATAAAACATGAAGAAAACGATCACTCCGACTCGAAGACTCGGAGTGATCGATTTCTTCATGTTTTATAACAATTTTTTTAAAGTTGATTAATTTCAAAAAGGTTTGAATTTAAAATTTTTGAAAATCTTAATTCCTATGGAAAAATAATAAAAATTAAATATTTAAAATATATTTAAAAAAGAAATTATTGTTTTCGAATAATTTTACAATTAAAGATATTCGTAAATAAATTTAACAGAATATTTTTTTCAATAAAATTTTTTCCTTTATTTTCTAAAAATTCTAAAACTTTATAAACATTTTTTTCCTTTATTTTTAAAAAACTTTGAATTTTATTATAGCAATTGAAATTAAGAAACAGAATTTATGCAAATTATTTCCTTATGATAATTGAGGAGTTTCTACAAAAACAATAAGGGGTTATATACAGTCACGATTTTCAAAAAATCGATTTGTAAGGGTCTTTAAACTCGCTTTTCTCAAAACTATGTTTTTTAAGTCGGTGAACACGATTTCTCAAAAACCGCTGAACCAATTTAGCTCTAATTTTCACACAAGCTCAACAACAACTTTTTGCTGTCCTTGATCGTAGTTTTTTTTAAATAAAATTAAAATTAAAATTAAAATTTTAATCAACATTTGAAGACGATTTTTTCTTTCATAAAAATGAACTTTTTCTTTAGCTGCCATTTTGTAAAAAAGTGATATTTTTTTAATTCCAACGATCAAAGACTACATTTTTTCATACACTAACAGAATCTATTTAACTTTTTGATCTTAGATGATTCTATCAATTGTTATCTTGTTCACCGCGGGACACTTTTTTCCGAGGATCTTTGGGAGATAAGCTACAGAGGCCAAAAAAAAAATAATATTTTTACAAATGAAATATTTTTTTTAAACTTTAAAAGATGTAAAATATTATAGGAAAACTTTCGCTTTAATAAATAAACATTCCTGTTTAAAAAAAAAATCCCGAAAAACTGTATTTTTCCGACCGCCTGACTATATAACCCCTTAAGAAACGGGAATATCTAATGTTTTTCTTCCCTGAAGAAAAAGATGAGTTTGTTAACAATATTGTTATTTCTTATAGAAAAAAATCACATAACAAACAAAATGGGTATTTTTTTTATTTGTTAATCATAATTTTTTTTAAATTTTCTAATTTTGTAATATTATTTTATTATTTAAATCATGAAAAAATACCTGCATATTTTCGATTTGTCAAACAATGTTTTTTAAAGAAAAAAAAACAACAAAAGCTTACACAGAAACTAACTTCAAACTGCGAAATAATATAGTTAACCTTCGGAGAACACATGGGGTCTTTTTGACCCCACGCTTTTTTACGAAAAGCTTTTTATCTTTTTTTAATATTTTTAATAAGGACTTTCAAGTATACAGACTTATTCTACAGAGTTTAAACTATAATTAAAAAAATTCTTTAGCTTGATTAGATGAGCAGTTTAAAATTGGTTGAGCTTTCAAAAATAGTCTAAAAAAGAGGTGTGTTCTCCGAGGGTTAATAATTATTGTTTGCCTTTTCATAGGAATTAGAGCCAAGGAAAATTCAATCCCCAGCAACGGATGGTCCCACATTTCCCTCGAATCGTTCTCATCATCCGCAAAAACACGACGACAAGAAGCCAACAATGCCAGGACGATCGTCAGTCGATTATCGCGAGTACCGCGAAAAGAAAGAACGCGAACGTCTCGAGAGGGAGAAAGCGGCAGCAAATGCCGCCGGCGGATCATCATCAACTGGTCAAAATGTCACCGACCCCAATAAACATCATTCACATCATCACAAACAACAAATACCGGGTTCAATAATGCCAAACAAGCAAGCTCCAACGCCAAATCAAAAATCGGCACTCCATCACAATCATCATCACAGGCCTGACATGAAACTAAATCCATCACTGTCACAAAGGCACACGAGTAGCACATCGCAAACAAGAGATCCAAATCGCGATCCAAACAGACAACGCGTTGCAACTCGTGAATTTAACAGCGGAACAAGTGGCACACTATATCATCACAACATCTCCCAAAACGAAACAAATCTAATAGCCTCACAGCCAGATCTTGCGGCAAGACTCGAGTCAGGCTTACCACAAGAATCAGCGTCACACTCGAATCCTCAGGACAAGTTGAGCAATAATAATCACAATGTACATAGAGTAAGCTCACATGACAAGAGGTACGATCCACGACACAATAAATTACCGGAACACAGAAAAGACGAGCAGAAAGTCGCATCATATCCTGAATATCGTGACATGTCGCGCGTCGATCGTCAAAGGAAGCCCGATTCACTTGAGCAGAGAAGTGAGGAGGTGAGGAAGCTCATTGAAAAACCACTTCCGCCACCAAAAACAAGGCAGGAATTAACGAAGGACGATTATATTGCGCATATGCTGAAACAATCGCATCATTCCAAACATAATCAGTCTGATAAATTGCTGCAGGGTAATTCGGGACAAAATTTAACGATTCCAATCACGCCGCAAATGCAACAACAACAACAACAACAGCAGCAACAGAAAACAATGCCAAAACCAATGGGACATCAACATTCAATGTCCGGAATGCAGCAGTTTATCAAGAATGGAAGTTCGTCACAATCGTCGAGTTCAATGAGCAATGTTGAGGATCCTAAAGCTGAGAAGAGGCCACGACATGACGAGAAGACGATGATTGAACAACAGAATGTGGCTAACGTTAAACCAAAGTCGCTGTTTAGTCCTGAGAAGATTCAAAGAGATGTGAGTTATATTTTTATATTTTTTTAGAAATTAAGTTTTATTTTCTATTCGATTTTTTGGACTACCTCCTTAATTATTTTTGTATTTTTATTTCAATTAAGATATAAGTGGAAGTTCGTTAATCATGATTTCGACCTGAAATGAAAAACCAGGTCAATGTACATTTCTCATGGAATTTTTCTTTTTATTCATAAAATCAAGGGAATTTTTCATAAATTCTGAAATTTCAAATGAAAGAACCTTTTTTTGAAAGAAAACGAAAATTTAAAATATAATTTAAGTTTCCAAAAAAAAATGATTGACTAAGATAGAAAGTTAAAAAGTTAATTAAACAAATTTAGAAATTTTATTATTTGTGTTTTTTTAATACAAGACGCAATATTTTTTTATAATAAAATTTTAATTTGGAGAATTAGATCAATTTCGTTCGTTTAAAATTTAAGAACTGCTAATTTCTTTAAATTTAAACATTTTTTTAAAGATTTTATTTTTTTTTTAAATAATCAGTAACGTCGTTGTTTATTTGTTTGTTTATTTGTTTATTTATTTATTTATTTATATACAGTTATTCTAGTTGACGTATATATTTTTTTAATTTTAATGGCAATTATTTCTCCTCAACAACAGTCAATTTATTTATTATTTTCATGGAATTAAATTATCCATTTACGTAAGCAAATTAAAAAATAATAATTTTCTTATATTAACAAAATTGACATGGGATATTGTATTTTTAATTGTTAATATGACTAAAAGATGTGAATAAAAATGATTTAATTGATTTGTGAGAGTAATATTAAATTTTTTTCATACAATTTAATCTAAAATATTTCTTGAGTTTTTATATAATTTTTATAGCATTTCGAAACTTTTCTCCCATAACGAAACAAATTTTCCATAAAATTGTATTCTTCGAAACATTTTTTCTATTTTTTTCTCTCATTTATAATTATTTTTTTTCTAAATATTTCGATATTCCGTTTTTATTGTATTGTTATATTTTTAAACTATCGTAAATTTCGATCCTCACACAAGTGTCTTTTAAATTTTAAAACTTTCGATTTTGTAGAGAAAAAATATTTATTTGACGATTTTGATTCTTTAGAATCTTTGGAATAAAAATAATTTATAAATATTTAAATAAATATTCATTTAAATTTCTTTTATTTTTTTACAATTAAAAATTTAATGTTAATTTATCAATTTCGTTCTTGGACCAAAATATTTGTAATAGAATTGATACTATTATTAAAAATATAGTTAAATAAAAATGAAATAAATAATAAATAAAATGTATTGTGATTAGTGTTTAGTGAATTGATTAGTGAATCAATATTTTTGTAAAGTTGTAATTTTTTAATGAATTGTTTGAAATTATTATCTTGGCTTTTTTCAGGCACCTCGCGACTCACATCAACGTTCCAAGTCGCGACAAAAAACACCACCGGCAGCAAAAATTGCGAAACAACAATCTGCTGCTCTCGATTTACCGGCAACACTTATATCGCCATTTTCAAGTCCACCTGGTTTACAGCAACAACCACAACAACAACAACAACAGCAACACGATTCACTAAAACGACCACAGTTAGAAATTGCAAATTCCTCACATAAACGACATCGTGGCATGAATGAATTCGATCAAACAACATCCGCTCAAGATGCATTATCATCTGTATTAAATGCAACAAATAATATACCCGGACTTCTTCAACCAATCAACGAACTACCATCAAGAAGTTCATTCATGAACGATACAAAAATGCCCGAATTATTAAGACCCTTCGAACCCGAATCAACACTAACTCATCGTGCCTCACTTGGTCCATTAACAAACGGCATTGAAAGTCGCTTGTCAAGGCAAGAATTTTCCGAGGCACAAGAATTCCCTAAAGCTCAAGAATTTAAAGTTAATCAAGATTTTAAACCAATTATCGATCAAGTGAATTTTAAAGCAACTCAAGATTATAAACTAAATCAAGAATTGAAAGTTACCCAAGATTTTAAATCCGCACAAGATTATAAGCAACTTCAGGATTTCAAATCAGTTCCAGATTTTAAAATTAATCAAGAGTACAAGCATGAAGTGCCCAAGGTTCATGATTTTCCAAAGAATATTTTCGATTTTAAAGATGGAATGGAATTCCCCCGCGCTACAGTTCAATTACAGAGGCTCACCGATTATCCAAAAGTAAAAGTCGAACAACCAAAAACAATACCCGAATGTTCCAAGAATCAATCCGATTTTGTGAAACAAGAACTACAAGAATTTCTCGTCACACAAGATCCAATTGTATTTCCAAAACAAGAACCACAAGAATTCATCGAGCCGATTGTTGAAAGTAAGAAAAAAATTAAAGCTGAACCATTGGAGGAATTCTCGCGTACAAAATCAGCACAGAGTATCAGTGCATTACTACAGGAACCCTTAGCGCCAATGCCTTCGCTTCTTCAACAATTTAATCAACCCCCACAACATCAACAACAAATACAAGAATATCCGCCAATACTATCGGCAATTTTACCGTCCGAACAATCAATTCAACACGAAACACAACAACAACAACCACAACAACAACAACAGCATCAACAACCACCGCCACTAGTGTCAACAGTCGATATGGGCGCACTTTCCGGCTCAACAATTGATTCAACACTCTCAACTCTATCGACAACTTCCACAGTTCCAATAATGCCAGTTGTTGTCGAGGAGAAAAAATCCGAACATCATAAAAGTGAAAAGAAAAAGAAGGAGAAGAAACACAAACACAAAGACAAGGAGAAGAGTAAAGAGAAGCATAAACACAAGCACAAGGACAAGGACAAGGAGAAGCATCGCGACAAGGATAGGAAAAAAGCCGAGGGCGATAATATGACCGCCGAACCAATAAAAATAACAATACCCAAGGATAAAATTAATTTAACCAGCGAATCATTGGGTAGTGTTGATAAATTGAAATCGCCACCTGGTAAAATAAAGATTAAAATTGCCAAAGAAAGAATCAAGGTGACACAATCGATACAACAACAACCACCACAACCGGCGACAATTCAACCTTTGAAAATTAAAATTCGTACCGACGCTATTTCTCGAGGTGAGCATGATACCAGAAAAAGGGAACGCAGCGACGGTCACGAGAATTTACAAAGTGGACCACCGAATAAAAAACAGCAGCAGTTACTACTACAACAACAGCAGCAGCAGCAACAACAACAGTCTGTTAATCCCGTTCTCGTTCAACAACAACAGCAGCAGCAGCAGCAACGTTCCAATGAGAGACAGAATGGAAGGCACTATAACTCCGGCAGTAATAATAAGGTACGTGGAATCGGCAGAGGCGGCCGACTCTTTCCACCGCGGCTGCCCTACGTAAATCAACAATTCCATGATGGTTTCTATCAACGTTTTGAAAATATTCACGGTCCCCGTAATCCACTCCATCGTCCAACAAATCCCCGTGATCCATTTTTCTTTTCCAATTATCCACCGCCACCACACATGTTCAATAACCCAGCTGGATATATGTACGATCCTGCGATTTATTATCAACAATATCAACAACAACAGCAGCAACAACAACAACAGCAGAGATTCAATTTGTATCCAGCTGGTAATGTTATTGTCACTCCTGACGTTACAATTGACACGAGTATACCGCCACCGATTTTACCATCAAATTTGAGAAATTTGAATAATAAATCTGATAACAGTGTTGGTAGTACTCGTAATGTCGATAGTCAACCTCCTTTACCTGATGGTCCTCCACCTGGTTCGTCTCCTCCGCCACCGCCTCCACCTCCACCTGAGTAGAAGTGAAAGGAGTTTTTTTTCTCCTTTTTTTATTAGCATTTTGTTTTTTTTTTTCTCTCATTTTTATTTTTCAAGTAGTTGATGATTTTATCTAGTAGTTGAAGATTTATCTAGTAGTTGAAGATTTATCTAATAGTTGAAGATTTATCTAGTAGTTGATGATTTAGATGATTTATTAAGTAGTTGTTTTATCGAGAGTAGATGAACATCTTTACAGTGTAGAGGAATTTCGTGAAACTCGAGAGAGAGAAAAAAATTTAATTTCGTGGAGAAAGAAATTTTTTTGTCTTGTAATAATAATTTTTTGAATAATTCAAAATTATTCGTTTGTAAAATGAAAGAGACAAAGGAAAGAAATTTGTTTGTCTTGTAACAATAATTTTTCGAATAATTCAAAATTATTTGATTACAAAATATATATTATTTTTGTATATTATAATTATTCCCTTGTATTCACGACAAGTGAACAAGACAAGTGTAATAAATAAATATATAATTATATAATATTCTTAGAATTGTATAGTAATGTATTATAATTATAATAGATTACTATATTTATATTCGTTTACATTATAATTGTAATATATTTTAAATTATTTATTTTTAATATAAATAATATGATTTATATATAAATTATATGAAATTAAGATTTAGAAAGAAATATAGTTAAAATATATTTTTAGATAAAATATATAAAAATTTATATAAAACAAATAGAAAAATAGTAGAAAAAACTAAATTTCGTAGAGAAAGTTTTTTTTTCTTTAAAGCAATTTTTATTCCTGTAAATATAAATTAAATGTTGAATAGGATAAATTATTCATTGCAATATTTTCAAATTTATACATAGATAATTCTTGATCTATTTGTGTTTATATTATATAAATAGTTTTTTAAAATATTACATATAATATATTTTTACCTTCGTTAACTTTTGTTTTCAAGAAAAGATTTTTATGCCAATTCAATTCATTGAATAAATTATTTTTTTTACTAAATACTTGGTACAAAAAAGACAAAAATTAATAAATTGATTTAGATTCTCTAGTTGATAATAAATATCTTAATTTCGTAATAAATAATAATTTATGATTAATAATGATTATAAATACAAAAGTAAAAAGTAAAGAATTAATTTCGGTTTTTTTATCTGAAATAAATATTTGTTTTAGAATAATAGTCTTTTATACAAAAAAACAACAGATCGTAATTTAGATTTTTTAATTGAACATTAATATTATATTTGTTCAAAAATTGTTTTCTGTGCAAAAGAAGACAAAAAATCTGTTAATTTCGAGTTTTTTTAATTAAAACTAATTTTAACTAATTTTAATTAATATTAGTTGTTTAAAAATTGTTTTTCGTAAAGAAAAGGACAAAAAATTTGTTTATTTTGATTGTTTAATTGAAAATTAATATTATTTGTTTAACAGTTGTTTTTTGTTTTAAAAATTTTTTAAAAATAAGTTAATTTCCATTTTTTAATCAAAAATTAATATTATTCTTTAACAATTTTTTTTGTGTAAAAGAAGACAAAAAAATCAGTTAATTTCGATTTTTTAATTAAAAATTGATATTATTCGTTTAAAAATTGTTTTTTGTATTAAAAAAAAAAATCAGTTAATTTCAATTTTTTAATTCAAAATTAATATTAATATTTTTCTTTTTAATTCATTTTTTGTGTGGAATAAAATTGTACAAAAAAAAATTAATTGAAATTTTTGAAAAATTTTCATTAAATATTTGTTATAATCAAGTCTTTAACGTCCAAGAGATTTTAATAAGACAGACGAAAACATTCAGACAAAGATGAAAATCTTTTGTTTGAATGTCTTCGTTTAAAAAAGTAAATAAATTTTAAATAAAATAATAAACTGAATTATCAATTATATTATTAATAATTGTGTTTTAAAAATTATATTTAAAAAAAAATCACTCAATAATTAAAAATTACTTACTTAAGAACTAAAAGTAATTTATATAAAAATTCAAAATTGATTATATAACATTTGAAAATAAATTATAAAGAATTTTAAAATAAAATTATAAAATTTGAAAAATTAAATAAAGTTTATAAAAAAGTACATTTTATAAAAAAATCGTTTAAACATTGATATTCGTGAAATATCAATAAAAATGTTTATTATACAAAATGAAATGTGTATTATAGTTTAGGGAAATGAATTGTAAATATTTCTTTCTCCTCGAAAATTTAATTTTTATTATTGCATTTATAAATTAGAGCACGAATTCCACTTCTCTTTTCTTTAGCTTTTACTATTTTTTATGTCTATTTAATTAAAAATTTTTTTATTAGTATATAGTTGTACGACAGTGTGACAACAGATATTTCTGTAAATTGTGAAGATTTTAAGGAATTTAAAACTTTTTTTATTTAAAACTCTATACCTGCTGGAGAAGAATTTATTTTAAACGAAAATTGACGAAAAAAATTTACAGTAACTTCAAATTTAATTCAATTACAGTTTATTTTTTACTATTATTTACTCAAGTTTTATTCAATAAATTATATTACTGAAGTTCACAACGTTTATGATCAGAGTTATAAGAAAAAATATTTTTATAGGCAAATTTGAGTAATTTTTCGCTTGGAAATTTTTTTTTACACATTTTACTTGGCAATTATTTAAAAAAAAAATTTGTAAACAGAAAAATTTTATTGTCTTCTGTGTAAAATATTTGTTTTCCATTAATCGTTGATTATAAATGTGAACTCAACCGAAGTAATAAATTGAAGTTATTTATTTAAATTTAATTAAATGTATTGAACCAATTTAATTAAATATTTTAATAAGTTTAATTTAATTTTATGCAATTACATTTTTAATTACGAATTATTAACTTCATTGCACACTTTTCTAAAAGTTTTGCAATACAAACATTTCAAATATTTTTATTTTTATTTTTTTTTCTCTTTTCTTTACAATAAAGAAAATAAAGTTTAAAATTTTTATTTTCGTTTGTCAACGTTTTAAATTGTCCGTAAATAATAGAATTTTATTAATTATACAATTGTTTTTTCTGCAAAAATTGAATTGTCTAGTCATTAGTTAACTATAGTAATAAAAACTAAACTTTCTAACTTAAAATCTCAACAATTTACAGTATTAATTTTTGACAGAAATTGTCTTCTGACAATTGTAAATATTAAAATTGTCGTATAAATAATCATAAATTTTTAATTTTTCTTTTATATTATACAATTTTCGAAAATTTTAAATTCTTTCTTTTTATATTGTTTTTAACATTTTTTTCGTAGAAATTTGTTTTCAAGAACTAAATTAATTTTAGTTTTTCAAAAACTGAATATTGCAATAAATTATTAAACTTTGTAAATTTAATTCAATTACAATTGAAAATGATTTCAAAGGATTTTTATTTTCATGATGAATGTGTGAAAATTGTATATACAAAGAATTTTTGTTGAATTTTCAATTTTAAAAAATGAATTTTTGCTTTCTCATAGAGAAAGTATTTTTTTTTTTATTTAATAGTTTCAAATTAACAAAGTATTTGCTTGATTTGTGAATAAAAAAGTGTGATGCATTATGATTTTGTAATTAACCGAAAAATATTCCCAGGAAAGCTTCGTTTGGAAAAAAATTCTATTTTTTGGGAAACGAAGTATTCTTGAAATATTGCTTGAAAAATTAACTTTTTATTTTTAACGCTTTTTTCATATTCTAATTCTAGGCATTTAAAAAAATCATTTTTCATTCTAATTTTTCGAAATTCGCTGCAGCAAATGCTTTGTTATTAGATATGTACAATTTTTTTTTTATAGAGAAAGTTAATTTCAGAAAAAATAGAATTTTTATAAAAATAATTAATTATTGTAATAATTTAATTACAAAAAGGTAGTTTATACTAATAATAATGAAGTAAAATTTTTCCTCTTCCATCTTTTTCTCAATTTTTTTAATTTCTCTTGTTATAAATTGGTAGAATTTTGTAATTAGCATGATACCGTTTTTTTTAAATTTTAGTATAATAATACTTTATTCTAATGACTATTTTTCTCGAAGAGTATGAGACGATTTACAAGAAAAATAACGACGAAAAAAATTCTGGATCTCTTTTTAGAAATACATGACAAAAAAAAAGAAAAACAAAAAAAATGAACAAAACTGAAAAACTTTTTGAAAAAAAAGGAAAATAGTATTTTCTATTCTCAGCTGTAAACTTTATTTATACGTAAAAGAATGGAAAGGAAATATTAAATTTTTCCTTTCGGGAATTTATTTCCAATAAAATGGAAACATTTTTTTTTTAGCTTATCTGTAGATTTTCAATTGTTAGTTATTTTCTATTTTATCATAAGTAGTGAATTTTTAACTGTTCTTTTATCAAATTAGAACATTGTGACCAATATTATAAATAAGAATTTACAAATAGAAAAAGAAACAAAAAAAAAGAAATGATTAGCAAAGAAAAAAAAGAAAAAAAAAGTCTGAATCGTTATGATTTTGTTTTCAAAGAGGGAGAATAATTATTTTTTTACACATATAGATATTAATGTTGTAAATATTATTTTAGGTAAACAAAAGTTTTTTTTTACGAGGCAATATAATAATAATTTAAGATATACAAATAGATTTATTTTTCCAAATAGTCAATTTTTCTCTTTTATTATTGTCTCGTGGAAATTGAAATTGTCAAAAATAATGAATGACATTTTTTTTCCTGAGAGAAAATTTTGTATATATTATAATATATAACATTTTATTTCGCGAATATTTATTTGAAAAAGTTTTAAAAAGTTTTAGTCTTTTGAAGACAATATGCAAACATTAATCTTCTAATAATGCAACAAATATTACTCAGGAATAAATAGAGACAGCGTATATTAAAATTAATATGACGTGTAATTGATAATTAATAATTAATATAATTAATAATATATATATATATATAGTTATGTGCATAATAAGCAAGAGTGAGTTTATATGTGGTGTTACAGTGTTTTGCCATTATGCAAAAAAAGAAAAAATAATAATTAAATGTATATATATAATTAGGAAAAAAAGAATTTTCTCATCGTCATCGTCAATATTGTTATAAAGTATCACAACCTTGTCGAACATGTTCATTAACACTTTGTTTATTAATTTTACGGTTAAATTTACACGTCATCTATATAGGTAATTTTATGACATTATTCACTATTTTTTTTTTTGCAAATATTTGCGTTATTCTTTCTCTCAAATTTTAATTCTGTTCTCTTTTTTTTCGTATTTAATCGAAATATTTTGCCAGTTGTACTTATTTAAATTCTTGCGAAAAAAAATAGAAAGTTCTCTATAACCGACGCTGTTAAAATTTTTTTATATTTCCAATATAACTTTTGGAAATATTCACGAATTTAAAACCCACAAGTTTGATAAACGAAAAATATTTTTAATTATATTACTCAAAGATAACGCAACAATATTGCCAAAAAAATATATAAAAAAGAAGTTTTTTATTCGTTTTAACAAAAATTGTTGTTTCTAAAAAGTAATATTCGAATACATTAAACAAATTTTTTTCATTAAACCTTGTGGACTTCAAATTCGTAAATTTTTTTTACGAATTTTTAGAGAAATTTTCCGTTTTTAAAAAGTTTTTTTATTTTCGAAGACAGAAATTTAATGTTTTTTATAAAATGGACTTTTCTTTCTTTATTTTAAACAGATTTTCACAGCACCGGATAATTATTTATAGAAATAATTTTCTGTTTCTATTAATGATATATTTAATATATTGAGAGAGATAATATTTATTCTATAAAAATGGAGCAAAGTTCGCAGAAAGTTTAATGTTTATTTTGTTAATTAATTTTATTATCATTATTGTTAAATTTAAAAAAATATTTGAAAACAAATCTTAAGGAAAATGTGAAAATTTGGATTTATTTTCAAATATTGTAAATTGTATATTTAGTGTGAAGAAAAGAGAATTATTGATAGTTATTAGTTTATTTTTTTTTTATAATTTATTTTGATTTTTAAAAAATGATGACTGAAACATTCCAGTGATTTTTTTTTATTTCCGCGAGCTTCTTTGCTCTTGACAGTGTTTTTTTAAGCGATAAATAATGACAAGGTAATTGCTAAGGTAAAGAAACCGGAGCTGCGGGAATTTGATTTTTTTTCCTCAAAAAAAAAAAAACAAAAAAACAAAAAAAAAATATAACAAAAAAAGAATTTTTTTATCGAGATTGAAAAGTGTGTTGATTTATTATTATTGTATAACGATTGAATGTTTTTTTCGAAAGCTTACAGCTAATTTTTTAAGCAACATTGAAGAAGAAAAGGACTCGCACGAAATTGTAAAACGCGTATGTTGCTTCGATTTTCTGTATCTAATTGTATTTTTTATCTGTCGCTTTATCGGTTCCTGTTTTTTCTTTTTGTAAAAAAAAATTTAGAAAATAATTTTTTATTAGGAAAAATTCCTATTTTTTCGACTTCTAATTACGGGTAAATCCAAACATGATAATCAGTTTAAGAATTCTTTCAGAAATGATTTTTTCCACTGAGAAACTAGTCGAATATGAAAAAGAAAATTATACACGAGAAAAATTCATTTTTAAGTAAAAAAAAAAGTTTTTAAAAACATGTTTCAAAAACATAATTTTAAAAAAATGATTTAAAAAAAAATTTATTTCGAATAAATAAATCTTGTGAAGGAAAAAAATATCAAAAAGAAAGCAGGAATCGTGAGCGACATAATAATCGAATTCAAAGGAAAATAAACGTTCTATGGAAACGAATATACCTTAGTAATTATTTTGTCTTTTCTTATTATAAATCATTTTCGCACATATTGTCGCCGCTTTTTTATTATTGTATACTAACATCGTTCAGAGATCCTTGCGAAAATCCATCAATTGTCATACAGCAAAATAAATTGTCCACTTACAAAACAAAAAACAAAAAAAAAAAAAATATAAAAATGGGTTCGTAGGTGAAGGATTTAGTTGTAGAATCAATCACGCATGTTTGCATGAATTTCTTTCCATTTTTTACATGCTTGTAGAAATTAGATGAAACACATTTCACTATTCGCATGCTTTACTTTTATTGTTTGCTAGAATTAATTTATAAGTTTCTTCTCATGCACCACATTATCATTATCATTCATTTTTCTCCATTGTCATAAATATTAAACCCTTTTCAGGAAAAAGCATTTTTTTTCTCAATTAAAATAAATAGTGAATAAAATTTTAAAACAAAGTTTTATCAAAATAAAAGAAAAATTAAATTTTTAAAATATTAGATGCAGGTATTTTGGTAATTTTTTAGTGAAAAGTAAAAAATGTGTTATTAATTAAAAAATTTGTAACAGGAAAAAATTTGTTCTTTCGAAAATTTAATTGAAAAAATTTTAATTTTAAAGGTTTATTTATTTTACCGAAATAGTAATTGGAAAAATGGTTCATTTTAAACTGAAATAGTTATTGGAAAAATCTATTAATTTTTAATATATAATTTTCTGGAAAATTAATTGAAAAGGTTTTTTAATTTTTTATATTTTATTTGCTGGAAAATTAATTGATAAAGTTTTTTAGTTTTTAATAATTAATTTACTGAAAAAGTAATTTTAAAAGAAATTTTTAATATTTAATTTACCGAAAAAGTAATTGAAAAAAATATTTTCTACTGAAAAGTAATTCAAAAAAAATTTTTTGACTAACTATTTAATTTTTTGCAAAAGTAGTTAGAAACATTTTTTAATTTTTAAAGTTTAATTTATTGAAAAAGTAAAGACAAAAATTTTTAATATTTATTTTACTGACAAATTATTTAAAGAAAAAATTGTTGAAAGAAAATTGTAAATTGTATAAAAGTGAATTTTATTTTTATTTCTTTATTTATAAAATATAGACGAGCAATGACCATTTTTTATTGTTTTATAATTTATTACAATTTTATTACAAATTTTTCAACTAGAAATTATTTAAAAAAATAAAAAAAATATTAGAAATGCTCAATTTCAAATTTAAAATGTTTAAAATTTTTATATTATTTTAACAATTTCTTTTAAAGTTGTAATTTTTTATCGATTTTTTATTTGCTTGTTTATTTATTTATTTACGAGTAATGAGTATAAAAAATGTTTTCCAATACTATGAAAAAATATAGAAATTAACGATTGAAATTATCGCAGAAAAAGTTATTTATAATTTATGAATTGAATTTTGTACATAGTTGAATTAATTCTCTCTTTGGTGTTTGTGCTCCTTATCCCTCTCTCACCTTTCAAAGTGAAAGATACGGCAGGTGTCGCTCTAGGAAAAATTTATTTCGTATTTACGTTATCACGTAGTCTGTGAAGAAAATTCTTATCTTCTATAAATTATTTCTATTTAACGACTGATAATTTATGCATCAAAACAGTTTTTATCGAATCCTCACTATTAATTTGAATTTTGTGATTATGTTTCAACTTTTATTTCGTTTTCTATTAGTGTTTTTAAACGTTCCATATGTTTGATAATTGTGGTTGTATTTTTGAAACATTTGTGGTGATTTCGTTCAAATTTTTTTTCGAAACATTCCATTTTTTTATTGAATTGAAATTAATTTTGATCTTTTTACCATTTTAGTCATTTTTTGTATTTTTTAAATTGTTTTTTTTTTGTTTTGAATTTCGTACTCTGATGGTAATTTTTCCACACTTCCGGTTTTTGAAAACGTTTACAATTTTAAATAATTAAAACATTTTTTTTTTAGAGGGAATTTGTGTTTAGATCTCATTTTTTAATTTTGTTTTTTATTAAAGCTGATTGTGTTGTTAATTTTTATTAATTTGGAATAATTTTTGTTTTCTTTATAAACGGAAATTTTTTTAATCTTTTATACAATTAAATTTGTTTTTTCTTACGAAGTATTAAATTATTAAATTATGTTTGTTTTTTTTGCAGGAGAAGCACTCGTCGAGTCATCACAAGAGTTCACATAAGTTATCACAACAGTCGTCGTAGTGGAAATCCTAGATAGGTTAATAGAAAAAAAATTATCAATTCAATTCTCAGAGTAGAGAATGAATTGAAAAAGAAAAAAATATATATACACACACATTGTACAAAGAAAACTCGCCGTTAACTTATGCCCGAGACAAAAGCAAAAAAAGGTATGTCGTAATTAAGACACGGTTTTTGTCTCTTAGAAAATATTTCCTTCCCTTTTCTCTCACAAGCTCCGACTTTTGAAACATTGCGTGACTAACGTAGAGAACAAAAAATGACAACAATATCAATCGGAATTTTTTCCCTTATTTAAAAATTCACATCTTCTTTTGTTTAATTAAACAAAAAAAGAAAATTCAAAAAATATTATTGTCATTTTTTTTGTTGTAATTATGCTATCTCTCTTTTTTAATGATTCTGTTTCTCACTTTTTTTCCAAGTTACTTGGAACTGAATCTAAAGAAGTAAGACAGTGAAAAGAAATCGGCGAATATACGTTAAATCTAATTGTTAACGTAACTTAAATTAAGCGTTGTATTCTCTCGGATAGATTGTAAATCCATGAGAAAAAAATAAATAGAAAAAAAAACGAAAAAAAAAATATGTTGGATGCGAGAAAAAGGGTGTAACATAAAACTCAGGTCGTAGATATAATTATTGTACGCGATGAGGGAAATTCTCTCCGATTCTTTGTACAATTTTCCAACGTCTCCTTCTCTCTTTTTTTTGCGAATTCTGCCAATTTTTTTCTATTTTTTAACTTTTAGAGAGCATACAACTGTACTTTTTTTAAAGGCCAAGTATGTATCAATAGATTAGAAAACAAATGAAGAAAACATCAAATTTGCAAATTTGTGCAATTTTGAAATAAATCTTCAAAATCTGGCATTTTTCTGTTCAATCTCAAATTGATAAAGAAAAAATATCAAAGAAAAAGAAGAAATTAATACTTGAAATTTAATATTTAAATACATGTATCTTATTCAGCAGCAAAAAAAAAGAAAATATATGTATTTTCCAAAAATAAAAATAAAAATGTGCTTGAACGGAAAATTAACTGGGTTTTCTACAAACTGGACTCGTTTTTTTCTCTCGAATACCAATTGATTAAAAATAAAGAAATAAAATTTTTCTTTTCTTGGCAAAGAGAAAAATTCGAGTCTTTCTTTGTTTTTCAAGACTGACTAGAATTATTATACGTTTATAATTGCAGAATGTGCGCCGAAATTCTCTTTTTTTCCATATTGAGATAAAGGAGAAAGAGAGAGAAAGAGAAAGAGAGAAAGAAAGAAAAATTTCTTTTTCTTTCAAAATGCATTTATTGTGAAAAAAATTTCTTTTTTTTTTAAACATACGGTGTGTTAAAATTTCAAGAATCGTATAATAGAGAGAATTTCACTCGAGATTTTTCCTCGTCGAACACAAAAGTACGAGCGTTTTCTTTCGTAGAAACGAAAATAGGGCAAAATGAGAAAAAAAGAAATAAAAAAAAATGTAATAAGAATAATTCGGAAAGGGGAATGTTAATTTAAGTTCCCTTATCCGAGAGATATTTATTAATCGACGTTTCACTTTGTAAAATAGTCCCTCCCTTATTATTATTCTTATTATTATTATTATTATTATTAATATTATTATTAATATTATTATTATTTTTAATATTAATTATTAATATTATTATTTCTATTGTTAGTACTATTATTATTAATATTAATATAATTATTAATATTTTTAATATTATTATTAATGATAATATTATTATTCTAATTGCAGGTCGTCATTGTTCCGCGATCAGTCGAATTATACTATCGCTAATTTAGTATAATAACGATAATATCAATGAAAACATTATTCTCAGACTGTAAATAAAATTATTTTGTATGCCAAAATAAACCAAATGGATGACTACGACACGATGTGACACGTACACGTGAGGATTAAACGAGAAATACATAGAAAAAATATTGTAATTATTAATTAAATTAATTAATTATTATTATTATTATTATTATTATAATTATTATTATTATTATTATTATTATTAATTGTGTAGACACGCGCGCATTATACACTCGTGTTTAAATTAACACTTTCAGAACTTGAACCGATTTTAGAGAATCCACGAGGACGAAAGAGAGAGAGAGAGAGAGAGAGAGAGAGAGAGAGAGAGAGAGAGAGAGAGAAAGAAAGAAAGAAAGAAAGAAAGAAAGAAAGAAAGAAAGAGCGAGAGAAGAGAGAGATTCTTGAAATTTTAAATATCATGACTCTAATATTTTATATGCACATTTAAATATTGACAGAACATTTTATTTTTTTTAAAATCGTTGTTTTTTTTAAATTAAAAAAAACACTGTTGTTAAATTCTCTGCTATGTGTAAAAAAATGTCTTATTTCTCGATAAGAAATATCACGTGAAACATTGTTTTTCAATGAAAATTTTCATTTCGAATTGTCAAACGATATTTTGAAAAAGAAACAATTTTGCCTCAAATATGCAAAAGAAAAAGAAATTTAGAAAACTTTCCTAGAATTAAAAAATTAGGATTTTAAAAATCTATCGTAGATTGTTTACATTTTTGAAATGAGAATTTTCATTGAAATCTATTTGTAATTAGTTGTACTTATTGTAAAATTGATTTGGAAGATCCTTAGCCATTTGAATGATACTTCTCTAATTTTTCTTTTATGCTTGGCAAACATATTTTAAAATTGTGGCAAAAGAAAAAATGAAAGACTAAATGTTTCTATATGTTTTTTGTGGAATGTATATTGAAAAAAGAAAATAATGTAGTAAATAGGAATCACGATTTGTTTTATAAATCGATTTTGGTGCAATGGTTGTGAAAACTTGAATTCTTTGTGTGCGTCTGAGATTTAGAAATTAAATAAAGAACCAAAAAAAGAAAAAAGAAATGAAAACAACAAAAAAAAAACAATCTAATTATTGTGTATTTTTAATAATTTTTATTCTCTTTTTTTTAAATTACGGCTAAGAATCTTTTCAAACAAAAAAAAAACAAAATATATTGCTCATAGTGAAGCAGAATTAAAAATTTTCGTAAATATATAAATAAATATATTTAAAAAGAGAGGCCAATGTTTTGATAAAGATTAAAACGAAATGATGTGACATTTTTTTTAGACTTTATCAAAAAAAAAAAATGAAAATTTTTAGTTATAGATTATTGGCCACTATCTGCAGCTATTTTATTAGTTTTTCATGTAATTAAAAATCCTCATTAAGTTATTATCATTGTTAGTCGATGAAAAAATAAAAAAAAGTGTATTTAAAATATATTTACGAACGTAACGTAATAATTGTACGTTAAAAAAAACAAGAAAGAAAAAGAAAGAAATATAAAAATTGTTTGGTGATTTTATTTTTTCAATTCTCATTTTTATCAGAAATATTGTTTTGTAAAAAAAAATTGTGTAAAATCTGTGGAAAAGAGAATTGAAAAAATAAAAGTTTGTTTTTTAAACTTAAGTCGCTATACGTTTAGACAGTTCTTTTTTGTTCTTCTTTAACATTATATCGTTTCATTGTCACGAAACCTAAGTATTTTTTTTGACATGAGAAGATCGTCATTTCTTACACACATATATACACGCCTCGTTGGATTTTCATCAAACGACTCAAGAATTATATAAAAAATAATAAACAAAAAAAAAACTTGAAAGTTTTTTCGTTCTCTCATGTTACTAACGTCTATTTGTGCCGTTATGTACCTGTAAATATCAATAAAACGACGATATACTCAAGCGAAAAAAAATTGTCTCTTTACTGTGTATTCAACAACAACAACAATAACAACAACAAAGTTACACATTTATTAAGGGAAACTTTTTCAAAAATATTTGAATTTGTTAATATAAATGTTGCTAAAAAAAACAATATTTTGTTTTTTTTTGCATTATATTTTCCGCGTGAGAAAAAAGAATTTTGTAATTGTAATATTTAGCAAACAATTTTTTAATTTAACACGACTATTGTTTAAATAATCAATTTATTATATAAATTGTTCGATACGTATAAATTGTAAAATGAAGTTAAATTATTATCTATTTGTATATATTATTTTTATAAAAATTGTAATAATAAAATTATTTTGCACATTATTTTTACAACCAAAATATTAATATTGTGTTTACTTTTGTTTATATATTTTTGTACTCTTGATATTTTAATTTTGTTATTTTATTTTTTCTCTTTTTTAGTAACAAAAAAATGGAGGGAAATTTTGAATTTAAATCTATAGTCGATATTTGCATTTTCGATAGGCGCATCGCTTCCGGTTGTTAGTTTGAGGTTATGATTTTATGAATCAATGTTTTCATATAGACTTTAAGCGGCGTGAAGTTGGCACAACAACTAGAGAAAATTAATATTTAATTAATTGAATTCGTTTGGTAATCGTATGGTAGAGTATGGTAGTCAGTTTTTTTTGTTTGGTAGCGAAAATTGAAAGATTTATTTAAGTTTTAAGTTTGGCGTGCTAATTTCACGATAGCACTGCAAATACAATTTTTTGTAAAATAAAAACTGGTAGTCGTTTGGTAGTGATTGGTAACTACTTCCTGACTTTTGGTAATACAAACTGCAGAAAATATAACATTAAAAAAAATTAACAAAATATAATACACAGAGTAACGTGCTACCCGTGCTACACAATACTGCGCATGCGCACAACGGTCGGCCATGTTTATCAACAGGGAAATTCAAACTATATAAGTATGTCTTTTAGTACGACGACAAAATTATTTAATTTAATCAAAATAATAATAATAATACCTTCTACTTAATAAATAAATGTTACTTAATTATTAACTTAATTTTTAAATAAACAAAGAATTTTTAAATAAATAATTTACTTCCCTGCGCGTTTGCTTAAGAATTGTTGTGCATCAAAAATTCTTTTTTCCCTCTAATTCTAAACTTATGCTTATGATTGGTAGTAAAAATTCAACGATTGTTAATAAACAATTCATAAATAAATAAACAATTTTTTCAAAAAAAAATTATTTTCCTGAGTGCTAGCTTAAAAATTGTTGTGCATCAAAAATTCTTTTTTCCCTCTAATTCTAAACTTATGCTGATGATTGGTAGTAAAAATTGAACGATTGTTAATAAACAATTCATAAATAAATGAACAATTTTTACAAAAAAAAAAATTTATTTCCTGCGTGCTAGCTTAAAAATTGTTGTGCATCAAAAATTCTTTTTTCCCTCTAATTCTTAGCTTATGCTTATGATTGGTATTGAATATTAAACGATTGTTAATAACCAATTCATAAATAAATAAACAATTTTTACAAAAAAAAAAATTTATTTCCTGCGTGCTAGCTTAAAAATTGTTGTGCATCAAAAATTCTTTTTTCCCTCTAATTCTTAGCTTACGCTTATGATTGGTAGTAAAAGTTCAACGATTGTTAATAAACAATTCATAAATAAATAAACAATTTTTTCAAAAAAAAATTATTTTCCTGAGTGCTAGCTTAAAAATTGTTGTGCATCAAAAATTCTTTTTTCCCTCTAATTCTAAACTTATGCTGATGATTGGTATTGAAAATTGAACGATTGTTAATAAACAATTCATAAATAAATAAACAATTTTTACAAAAAAAAAAATTTATTTCCTGCGTGCTAGCTTAAAAATTGTTGTGCATCAAAAATTCTTTTTTCCCTCTAATTATTAGCTTATGCTTATGATTGGTATTGAATATTAAACGATTGTTAATAAACAATTCATTAATAAATAAACAATTTTTACAAAAAAAAAAAATTTATTTCCTGCGTGCTAGCTTAAAAATTGTTGTGCATCAAAAATTCTTTTTTCCCTCTAATTCTAAACTTATGCTTATGATTGGTAGTAAAAGTTCAACGATTGTTAATAAACAATTAATAAATAAATAAACAATTTTTACAAAAAAAAAAATTATTTTCCTGAGTGCTAGCTTAAAAATTGTTGTGCATCAAAAATTCTTTTTTCCCTCTAATTCTAAACTCATGCTGATGATTGGTAGTAAAAATTCAACGATTGTTAATAAACAATTAATAAATAAATAAACAATTTTTACAAAAAAAAAAATTTATTTCCTGCCTGCTAGCTTAAAAATTGTTGTGCATGAGAAATTCTTTTTTTCCTCTAATTCTTAGCTTATGCTTATGATTGGTATTGAATATTAAACGATTGTTAATAAACAATTCATAAATAAATAAACAATTTTTACAAAAAAAAAAATTATTTTCCTGAGTGCTAGCTTAAAAATTGTTGAGCATGAGAAATTCTTTTTTCCCTCTAATTCTTAGCTTATGCTTATGATTGGTATTGAATATTAAACGATTGTTAATAAACAATTCATTAATAAATAAACAATTTTTACAAAAAAAAAAAATTTATTTCCTGCGTGCCAGCTTAAAAATTGTTGTGCATCAAAAATTCTTTTTTCCCTCTAATTCTAAACTTATGCTTATGATTGGTAGTAAAAATTCAACGATTGTTAATAAACAATTCATAAATAAATAAACAATTTTTACAAAAAAAAAAATTTATTTCCTGCCTGCTAGCTTAAAAATTGTTGTGCATGAGAAATTCTTTTTTCCCTCTAATTCTTAGCTTATGCTTATGATTGGTATTGAATATTAAACGATTGTTAATAAACAATTCATAAATAAATAAACAGTTTTTACAAAAAAAAAAATTTATTTCCTGCGTGCTAGCTTAAAAATTGTTGTGCATCAAAAATTCTTTTTTCCCTCTAATTCCAAACTTATGCTTATGATTGGTAGTAAAAGTTCAACGATTGTTAATAAACAATTAATAAATAAATAAACAATTTTTACAAAAAAAAAAATTATTTTCCTGAGTGCTAGCTTAAAAATTGTTGTGCATCAAAAATTCTTTTTTCCCTCTAATTCTAAACTCATGCTGATGATTGGTAGTAAAAATTCAACGATTGTTAATAAACAATTCATAAATAAATAAACAATTTTTACAAAAAAAAAATTTATTTCCTGCCTGCTAGCTTAAAAATTGTTGTGCATGAGAAATTCTTTTTTCCCTCTAATTCTTAGCTTATGCTTATGATTGGTATTGAATATTAAACGATTGTTAATAAACAATTCATAAATAAATAAACAGTTTTTACAAAAAAAAAAATTTATTTCCTGCGTGCTAGCTTAAAAATTGTTGTGCATCAAAAATTCTTTTTTCCCTCTAATTCTAAACTTATGCTTATGATTGGTAGTAAAAGTTCAACGATTGTTAATAAACAATTAATAAATAAATAAACAATTTTTACAAAAAAAAAAATTATTTTCCTGAGTGCTAGCTTAAAAATTGTTGTGCATCAAAAATTCTTTTTTCCCTCTAATTCTAAACTCATGCTGATGATTGGTAGTAAAAATTCAACGATTGTTAATAAACAATTCATAAATAAATAAACAATTTTTACAAAAAAAAAAATTTATTTCCTGCCTGCTAGCTTAAAAATTGTTGTGCATGAGAAATTCTTTTTTCCCTCTAATTCTTAGCTTATGCTTATGATTGGTATTGAATATTAAACGATTGTTAATAAACAATTCATAAATAAATAAACAGTTTTTACAAAAAAAAAATTTATTTCCTGCGTGCTAGCTTAAAAATTGTTGTGCATCAAAAATTCTTTTTTCCCTCTAATTCCAAACTTATGCTTATGATTGGTAGTAAAAGTTCAACGATTGTTAATAAACAATTAATAAATAAATAAACAATTTTTACAAAAAAAAAAATTATTTTCCTGAGTGCTAGCTTAAAAATTGTTGTGCATCAAAAATTCTTTTTTCCCTCTAATTCTAAACTCATGCTGATGATTGGTAGTAAAAATTCAACGATTGTTAATAAACAATTAATAAATAAATAAACAATTTTTACAAAAAAAAAAATTTATTTCCTGCCTGCTAGCTTAAAAATTGTTGTGCATGAGAAATTCTTTTTTTCCTCTAATTCTTAGCTTATGCTTATGATTGGTATTGAATATTAAACGATTGTTAATAAACAATTCATAAATAAATAAACAATTTTTACAAAAAAAAAAATTATTTTCCTGAGTGCTAGCTTAAAAATTGTTGAGCATGAGAAATTCTTTTTTCCCTCTAATTCTTAGCTTATGCTTATGATTGGTATTGAATATTAAACGATTGTTAATAAACAATTCATTAATAAATAAACAATTTTTACAAAAAAAAAAAATTTATTTCCTGCGTGCCAGCTTAAAAATTGTTGTGCATCAAAAATTCTTTTTTCCCTCTAATTCTAAACTTATGCTTATGATTGGTAGTAAAAATTCAACGATTGTTAATAAACAATTCATAAATAAATAAACAATTTTTACAAAAAAAAAAATTTATTTCCTGCCTGCTAGCTTAAAAATTGTTGTGCATGAGAAATTCTTTTTTCCCTCTAATTCTTAGCTTATGCTTATGATTGGTATTGAATATTAAACGATTGTTAATAAACAATTCATAAATAAATAAACAGTTTTTACAAAAAAAAAAATTTATTTCCTGCGTGCTAGCTTAAAAATTGTTGTGCATCAAAAATTCTTTTTTCCCTCTAATTCCAAACTTATGCTTATGATTGGTAGTAAAAGTTCAACGATTGTTAATAAACAATTAATAAATAAATAAACAATTTTTACAAAAAAAAAAATTATTTTCCTGAGTGCTAGCTTAAAAATTGTTGTGCATCAAAAATTCTTTTTTCCCTCTAATTCTAAACTCATGCTGATGATT